AACATTTAGGCACTTTTCTCAACCTTTCCTCCGCCTACCATCCTCAAACCGATGGTCAAACCGAGCGTACCCATCGCACCATCGAACAAATTCTCCGAGCTTACGTTCAATCCATGCAGGATAACTGGGATGCCTACCTCCCCATCGCCGAAGCTGCCTACAACAACACACCCCACGCCAGCACTGGTACCACTCCTTTTTACGCCAATTATGGTTTCCACCCCACCACCCCCGCCACTATTAACACTCCCCTATTCAAACCCGCTCACACCGCCGCCGCTGATCTCCATACCCACATTCGCGACATCCATACCACCATCCCCACAGAACTGGAAGCCGCTAAAGTTCGTTACACTGCCGCCGCCAACCAACACCGCCGAAACCTCACGTTCCAAGTTGGAGACCATGTTCGCCTCTCCACCGCTAACCTAACCTCACCTTACCCGACCACGCCCCTCCGCCAAACTCCGCCCCTCCCCACATCGGTCCTTTCACCGTTAGTGCTGTCATTTCCCCGGTCGCTTACCGCCTTCACCTACCACCTACCCTCGGTCGCATCCATCCCGTCTTCCAAGTCTCACGCCTGCTTCCTTGGGCGGACAACGATCCTACGCTCTTCCCCAACCGTCCTCCGGCTCCACCCGCCGTCCCCATCACGCTGGAGTCCCCATACAACCACACACCGACACTACCGTTACTGCCGTTCGCCTAGGTTACAACAGACGTGGTCGCCCGTCCGTCATGTTCCTAGTTCAGTCGTCTGCCGCCAGTGGTCGTGACGCGTCCTGGGAACCGTACGATGACGCCGTACGCAGCCTTCCAGCGCTTCGTGCCTTTCTGGCGACCCCAGCCTGGACCTCGTTTAAGCTGTCAGACCGCTATGCTTGGTTCAGAGCGAAGTTTCCGGAACACGCACCGCGGATAGTGCATTTCGTGACAACCTAGCGCTACGCGTAGGATGTGTGTCGTGTGTGGCTCGTGTCCTGTGTGTTTAAGTTTGGGGTTCTTTTAGATCTGTTTTGTGCGAGTCGCGTCTTGACTTCTGTTTTCTTCGGGTTGCTGTGTGCTGCGAGTCGTCCGTGTACCTTCGAGTTTTTCTTGGGTTCTTGTGTCATCAACCAGTTTGCTTTTTCTGTGTCTTCGGCTTGTGGTTTGCGTACTCTTTGTGGATATTTTGGGCACGTTCGTTTGGTTATATACCGGTTACTTAGACCGGCAGGTATAGGTGTCGTGCGCCATATTTAGGCCGGTATCCGGTGCGGGGAAGGTTTTGCCTTGACTCCGGTTCCCTTTTGCCTTCCCCTCGTTAGCCTGGTACCGATTTCGTTCAGGGAATCGGAGCGGCGCACGACTTAGAAAATACTTTGTACTTTCTATCGCATCGAGGACGATGCCTGTGTTAAGCAGGGGGGCATGTTAGGTTTTCTAGTTAGTTGTTCAGTCGTTAGCTCGACTCACGAACGCGCGTATTGATCAGAGATGTTGTACGACATTTTGGAGCCATCTAGACTCTGGATAACTATCTAAGTCGTTATTGTTGTTTAGGTTGTTATGTCATCGTTATTGCTTCCTGTGGTATGCTAGCAGGCTTAAGTCGCTCGGCCCTCGGTGTAACTATTTTGACATCCCAACTAGAACCGGAGTCCCTTCCTTTTCAAAGGCTTTGTGGCGTAATACAACCCAACCTGAATACACAAAATGTCTCACACATGGGTCGTACACACATTACACACAACCGTTGTCGTGCTGCAGTACGGCACGCCACGTGGTGCCTCAAAGATTTGCTGTACTTTAGAGAGCTGTGAATGGGCAGCTAGGGTGTCTAGCTGCCCGCTGCCCAAAGGATGTATGCACAGCAGCTGCGGCTCCCCAGCCGTAATCGTCTTCGAAGCCGAACGTCCACAAGCAGCAAGCAGGTGCTGACACCAACAGACGCAAGCAAAGTGATCATTCTGTTTATTCCGTTTAGGGTTTTCCGTTTATGCAGCGGACAGAGTATTTGTCACATCATTTTAGCATCACATATTGACCATGTGTTGCCCGCAAGCTTCCACTGACTGATGCCCCATCAATCATCGTCATTGCAGCCGCATTACGGTGACATTCACTGGCACCTGTATTCCTTCCGCGCACAACAGTCTGCACCGCTCCTCTCCCTTCACATCCATCCCACCTTTCAAACAACGTTTCGACCCACACTACACACGCGGCGCAAAGCACACCAGAGACAGACCGCGAGAGGTATTAAGAAGAGACGTTGGCTCGAGGGCTCGAACCAGGGACATTTGGACTTCATTGACATCATTCACTTTTGTTCTCACTCCTTGCCGGTGCTGCAACTGCTGAGCATTCCATTGACACGATCGCGAGTCAGAGGAAATACCGAGGTAGCTGTTCAGTTTGCATGTACATCCAACACATATAGATCGCCCAGGCGCTCGTTATTGCCGTCCAAACCGCCGTGAATCACGAGTCGCCCGTCGGAAGTGGTCGCAGAGGCGAACCAGCCGCGGGGCCCAGGCGAATCCCCACCAGCTTCCATCACCCGCCAACCTGCACCGTGGCCCTTGCCTTCGCCGCCCCCGCAGGCTCTGGCGCCGCTGCCAAATTCTACCAAGCTGCTGCAAAAGTCGCCCGCGCCGTCGTGGCCCTTGTCCGAAGGGTCTACCTCACCACCGTACACAAGTACGACGTTCCTGTGGCCGCACTCGCCCAGATCGCAGGAGTGCACTCCGGCGCCAAACACGCTGCGTGCCGAGAGCTTTTCCTCTGCGGCGGCTGACGGGCCGCAAGAAGGGCAGCTGGCGCCGCACCACGCGTCCTCGGCGATGCTGCAGAACGAGGAGTGGAAAAGAAACGTTGCACTAATATGGAAGTCAGGATCCGCACTCGGGACCACAATCATGGCAGTTGGCCGTCCATGGCCCCCCGGCTCTTACGGACGCCCTCTCTCTAACCCCCCATTCGTGGGAGGAACTTGAATCTTGTTCATATCGAGAAGAGTCGACGTACCGGGAAACAGGATTTCCTTATGCCCGCAGACGCATCCGCTGGCATTGTCCCCCAAATCCTCATATGCCCCCAAGTCCAAGTGCATGCGTTCTCCGCCCTCTGGAATTATACCCTTCCGCCACACCCGCCTATACCTGCACACATCCGCGCACACACCAATACCCACGTCGCATTCACGGCCTCCAAGCCACTAATATAATCGTACCTACCTGTAGACGTGCATGTCATCCAGCTCCCGTCCGCAAAATCCCGCGATAACATACAAAAGCGGCTCATCAACCTCACCACCTGGCTTCCGAGCCGCCACAAGGCAGCTGCCGCCGCGGCCCGGCACTGCCTCCGCCGGTGGCTTTGCCAGTGGGCGCCACGTCTCGGTAGTTACATCGTACTCGTGCAAGTCGTTAAGTCGACCTTCCTCACCGCAACCACCGAACACGTACAGCTTAGTGCCGACCGCCGTCATGGTATGGTAGGAGCGCTTGGGCGGGAGATCGCCTTTAGGCTGTAGCTGGGACCAGGTTGAGGTTTCCAAATCGAAGGCGTAAAGGTCGTTGCTGGCGCCCTCCCCCATATCCAGTCCTGACCTGTGAGGAAATCCGGTTTGGGGACATTGCGACTTGGGTAAAGTCCGGCTCACTCCAAGCGGTCAAGTTTTTGTTATTTATGCTGCCGAAGCGTAAGAAGTTGAGGCCTTAGCATTACGAAGTAACGGAGCTCCATGTCCCATGATGTGCTGAGGAGATAAGTGCGTCCTGATTACGGTACCCCACTAACGGCATTTGGCGGGTACTGTGTGTGGTGCTTCCGAACCTTCCGCCAAAGATGTAGAGAGTGTTGCCGATGGCGGCCGCGGAGTGCGCGACGCGTGGGCTGGGTGGTTCACCGATGGCGTCCAGCACGCGCCAGGTGCCATCCGTGAAGGAGTAAGCGTACAACTCGCTACTGATTGGTACTCGGGGGTCATGTTCGCCGCCAAATAAGACAATCTTGTCCCCTACAACTGTGATGGAATGGCTTGATCTCTCGACCGGCAGAGTGCCAGCTTGTGGGAGACGTGTCCACCGCATGACGCCTGTTGAGCTAAGATCAAAGATATTTGATGAGCAAAGTTACCTCGGGTCCTACTTAATGCTGAGGTTTCGAGTAATTCGACTTTGCTAATCCGGTTTCGAGGCAGACATACCGATATATCCAACTCCAATTGTACACATTGCTCGCAACCATATAATTTTATTGAGTTGGTACAGTATATGCCGAAATGCTACTACGGCAATCGAAGGTCCTACATAACCCCCTGTACTGCCGACCTTGCAATCCTTCTTGACCGTCACTAATAGTAACTTACTATCATTACACTAGGATGGAAACTGTACGTAAGGGCAGCAAATTCGAGCGGTGAAAAGCGGCCTTCGAAACCTGCTAGCAGGGGAGGACTAGCCTTCCTCCCATGATAATTTATTTCTACGAATGTCCCTGGACGAATAGGAGCACCCCGACCCAACCCTTTATGCCATTGCTAACGATGCTGTTAAGCCAACCTAGAGAAGGAAGATATCTTGCTCCTGTCGCCTTGTGCAAAATTTTATAATTGTCGTTAGTTGACCGTTAATCCAAAGAACTTATTATACGGCAATTTAGCCGTGTACTCGATACCTTAATTAAGAACGGCTACCTACAAGGCACCACAACTTTCAACCTTAGCTCGTCCACTTGATGGAAACTCCTGAGATAACGTTAAAATCGCCTCGGAAAGCTGAAATGGTGGCATCCACAATCATACCGCAGGCCCTCTCATACCTTAAATAATTCGGGGCCGGTCCTTTCTATTTGAACTCTACAAGGATGAACAACCGGCAAATAATAAAGCATAGCTTGAACATCGTTGATAGACCGCTTTCAAAGAACAGATCGGAGGTATGTTTTCCTAAGGAAATATTTCATAAAGAAAATTGATTGCTAGGAATGCGTCGACCATTCTTCTGCAGGTACCTACTGTGAGCTTAAGTGCCTTTGCCTACCTCTTCAGTGAATATATCCAGTACTTAGTAGATCGGGCGAACAGCATTAGTGAGCTTGAAGACAGGTGAGCGGTATGTGCCTTCCGCGCCGTGTGAGAGGCTAGGAAGGAGCGACCCGACAGGGTATTTCCTTATTGCGGGGTGATTGCCTCAAAGCCACGGCAGATTGCACTGAATCCGGCGAGGAGCTGCTCCTCAAAGTTTTCAAGCATCATAAATGGCTTAGTTCCCAGCTTCGGGCGACGGTGTTCTGCAGGTTCCCCTACACTTTCACCAGCAAAACCCTCCCCACACGTTTCACACTCTTCAACACAGCCTGCGTCGTGGTTACGTAGATGGCAGTTACGGCCCCGGTGTCCACCATAACCAGTAACAGTGGAGTGATCAGGGAAAATCCCCTCCAGTACAATTAATGTTTCCGTGTTCCGCCTCGCCTAGGGGCTGTGTTTCCAGGCCTGCACACACTTGCGTTCTCATGCGTGGGCCAGCACTGCCTATTCAACTTAATGCGTAACCCCAACGCTGCGTTGACACGAGGATCTCGTCTTTGGTTTCAGGCTCGAAAAGGTAGGCTTCGAGGTGGGGATTCGCATCCTGGAGCTGCTCTCCTACCGGGAGAAGGTCCTCCGGCGCAAAACCGACGTGCTAGACATTCTGCGTTTCATCCATGGCCCCGCCTGGCAATACCTGTTTGGCAAGACAGCGGATGACCTGCAGCAAGCGGCGAATGTAAGTGACTGCTTTCTAGAAAACTGCTTGAAGTCTCTGCTACAAATACAGATTTGTAGCAGAGACTTCAAGCAGGTGCTTTAGAAGGCCTGGGCAGCGGTACACCATTGCGTCTTTGTTGATGAGGTATACACGAACACGGAGTCTGAAGGTCGAAGGGTGGCACTAGGCGCAGCATAGCGACCGCATTTACGCCAAAAAAGTATGGATTAAGGAGCCAAGAAACCCCTGCCAATGCGGACATCGAACTACGGACAACGCTCGAAATGATTCGTTTTTTCGCGGTGGGTGCGTTGACAGGCAGACGACGAGTACTATATCCGGGATTACGACCTGTTGGTGTCTCGGTACATCTCCGTACCTCGCTCATATGAGCCGTTTAACCCTGGAACGCTGGCGGCGGGCATCATGCGGGGCATGCTGGACAGCGCCGGATTTCCAGCAAGGCAAGGCGGGGCGGGGCCCGAGTTAAAGGTGACTCAAGGTAGCTAATAACGAGCGCTGACGACTCATGCGCAAGGATTTTTTTTCTTCATCCGGACCACAGGTCGTTCCTATGATGTGGCACGAGATTCACGCATCCAGCCAGCAATCCTTTTTTGCATGTATCCCTGCTGTATGTTTCCCTCGCGGCAGTTAGGTTTGGAGATTGTACGAGGTCTCTCCTTACATAACGCAACGTCGCTGCTGCACCATTTTCCCCCAATGCAGGGTGACGGCGCACTTCGTGTCTCACAAGGACCGGCAGCGGCCTATCACCACTTTCATGATCAAGCTTGAGCCATCCGTTATGCAACGGCAAGCTTACTTGGAAGCGGCCAAGAAGGGATAACGTCCTCTGTTGATAATGCGGGGTCCAACATTGACATATGGCGATATGAGGAGGGTTGGAAAAAGCTGTATGGCAGATATCTCGTATGAAGCTCATCTCACTGCCTGCACGTTGCTAAGCTGATGTAGGTGCCCGTGTGTCTCAGCTGCAGACATCAGGAGCCGCCAGAATGTTACCGTTCTGTCACGGGAATGTTGCCAACACTCAAAAAGCGTGTGGAAGAAGCGTGTGCTGACAGTTCTAGAATGTAACATAACGATTCCATTTCAGTCGTATCGTTAACACGGTTAAAACCTGTCCCAACTCTCCGCACCAATGCCAGTGGATGCAGGACGCCATTGGGTAAATGGTTACCGACAACGCATATATAGACAACAAGCCCTTGCTTCATTCCGTGAATATCCTTTTTATAGTCCTACCTAACGCATATGTGATACAGTGAAAACCGTCCGGACAACACAAAAAAGCTTGCCGCTCGAAGAATTTCCTGTTGCACGGCAAGCTCTTTGCACTGTGACCAAACGGACTGCACGGCATCACTGGCTATGGCCCTTCCGTCGGGAAGAGCATGCCCGTTCAGCAGCAGCGACCTGGGGGCTCAAGCACTGCAGTGCTGCCGTTGTCACTCCCACGGACTACGAACATGACGCAGTAAGGTAGCCGAGGCGACGAAAACGGTCAGGCGTCCACAGCCCATGAGACCCCTAGGATTTTTTGCTACGCAGCACACAGTCATGTGACGCCAAAGGCCCCAATTGACTCGAGGCTTGTCATCAGCTAACTATCATACCGTCAATGAGTAGTGGCATTGCGTCGGGTGGCAAAACCGTCACAACTAAACTGTCACAATAGTATCTTGGTTCGCGCAACAGCGCAACCCACATAGCGACCGTGATGCCGTCGAAGTTAACAACAGACGGGGAGCTCTTGCATGCTCTGGCGCCTGTTGATAACTTCCGTCCCTAGAGGACACCTCCGCCCTGCATACAGGGGCCGGAGCACTGCTCATGCCAAATGCCATCATCTTTATAAGGAGCTTGGCCATCGTGCTCTGCAGGGCTGCACTCCCAAAACGCATGACTTGGGAGTTGCTAACTCAAGCAGGCTCGGCAGCGAAGCTCGACAACTATTATGAAAAGCAACTCGGCGTTCAACTTCAAGCCAAGTTGCAACAGAATCCACGCGTCCAAGAGCTGCAAGTTCCACGCGTGGAATTTCTGGATCCTTGCTCGGACAGATCTTTGCCACACCTGCACCCCAAGCACGCCTGCATTGCTCCAACCTATCTTGGGGCTCCCAGAGGAGGCTTCGTCACGTCCTGGCCCCATTCATATCTACATATCATTGTCTGGAAGGGCTAAAACACCCCCCAATTGTAGTTGATATTCTGTGTGGTTGCTATTCGTGCCAGCTTTTACCACATCGGTCAGACACCCTATCCGCCCGCTATTCCTAAACCATTCCACGCACTGGCAGTGGCGAGGATGCCCCCTGCACGTTGCCTAAATACCCACCTAATGATGCCATGCTACGTCGTCTTCCTGTATCTCCTCACCAAAGACTGGCCTCTAAACGTCAGCTAGCCCCTTAGCACTTGTTCCTGCTTTAAAAGCCGAGCCTTCGTTGTCAAGCAGTACACAGACGCATATGTGCCAAGCATGCTAACACCTGCCCGAGGAACTAAAGAAAAAACCGAAGCCGCCAACTGCTGCAGGTGCTAAATCTGCAATTATCGAAACGCTGCCATGTATCCCCTTCAGAACTGAAAAGGTTCCCCTCGCCTTGTAACACAGATTACCTAAGACCCGAGAATACAGCCTGCAAGGTATGTCCTCGAAAGTCCCAAATGGCCTGACCTCAGTTCACTGTTGGATACCCAGACCAAAACCTTCCCACTAAAAACCACATGTCATCCGCTTGATCATGCCACGAAAAGTGACACCACAAAGGAATTCCTTCCCAGCCCATAATGCCCGGTGCAGTACGTCCATAAGCCATGGATCAACGTATGCGGGACTGCGCATAACACGCTATGAATATGAGCTGAAGCATATGTTGGCACTTCAGGCGTCATTCATATCCTCGGCACCCATGGTCTCAGCCTACGCGATGAAACCACGGTAAACTTAGATCAGCTTTGGTAAAAAAAATAGGCAGAAATAGTGCATAGGCCTTGCGATGCTGGTTTGCTCACCTGTGGAATCATGCCGGGAATGGCTGCTAGCACACGCTGCCGGGCTTCGCGTTGCTCGACGACCTGCTTCTCGACATCTTCCGCGAAAAGCTCCGCATTATCCTGGAACCACCAAAAGCCCGATGACTAATTATCAAGCAGTACAGAAACGTTATGACACAGAATATGCTGTCAAACATACACCAGCACAGTATGCAACGAGGCCCTAACCAGGTTAGGAGTCTAACGACAGAGACACGTTACCTGGCTGGCAAACTGCTTCGTCTGTACAAGGAAGTCCCGTAGATGATGTTTGAAGGCAGAGAAGTCTTTGTACTCGAACATGCCCGAAACACAGGCGCTGACCTGTCAGCACGGTAGCACGGTTAATCGCAACTTATGGGACGTATGCTCTGTGCAAACCTATCTTCGTACAACACCATGGTGCAACCAAGACGTTATGACCCTCTAATGAGACCACCTGTGATGAACCGATGAGAAGCCATATTCATCCTGCCAACGTATCAGTACGAATCACGACGCCGGTCCCCGGTGATTCCCTTAAGCTGTGAAGGACTACGATTCTCATATCGTACGACTTAGGTCCTTCACGTGCGTACCACCAACACTTTCTTCACATTCGCATCATTCCTTCTCGTCGAAACAGCCTGCATACATGCTAGATATACCTCTCCATCGCACCCACTACGTACCTGAGCCTGCGTGAGGTTCGGGAAGGAGGTAGAAAGGAGCCCAATGACATGAACCCGGACGAATGCTGAGTTCGTCGGGAAGGCTCCAGCGCCTTTGACAGCGACGTCCCATAGAGGTGCTTTAATGACGTTTGCATCCAAAATGGTGAAGAGGTGATGCAAGATACGTGCCTGACTCTTGAAACCCGGCTTGTGGAAAGAATCTGCAAGGTGCCGTTTGCAGACAAGGAACACCTAAGTCATCGCCAACGCTAGGAACGCAACAGGAGTTGTTCTTTCAGTCATCAAGCGACGCAACATCAAGTTGTTGCAACGCTCGTTCAAAAGTCGTGTAAAGTAATTACGATAAGCACCGTGAACTGCGTTCCTTCACGTTTCAACCTGATCAACTTCGCAAGGACTTCCTGTTTCCTACAAGATGTCCTTGTTGTTCTCCGGCATCCTAAAGGCCAAATGAGCTCATAGCTGAATCCATGACGTTCATGTTTGTCCCAATAACCCTGGAAAGACCTTTCCCCGGTTCATATTCCCCACAGAGGATAGCACACCGCATCGCACGCACCGGTCATGACGGCCAGGATTTCATTCAACAGATGCAGGTAATAGGTCTGGTGGAATTGGGTCGCGTAGTCAGAGCCGGCAAACTGGACCAGCAGGTCATGCAATAGCGCCAGGCCCGTTTCCGCAACGTTGCGCTCTGTGTGCCGGAAGGCCCACACGATCGAGTCGATGACAAGCTTCAGCTGCGCTGCGCTCATCATGAAGAGCGTACTGCGGTTGAAAGGCAACCAGAATGAAATCCATTAGGTGCTCAAATCCAAATCACCCCACCATTTGCGTGCATGTCAGCGTGCTTCAAAAACGACATCACCTGCTCCGCATCACCCAACAAATCAGTATGATCGTGCCAATTTCCAAACCCATAAGACTCACTTGAAACACGAATTCACGATAGCGTGTAGAAGCGCGAAAAACTGCAGACGGTGCTCGGGGTAATCCTCAAAGTTACGGGTTATCATCGTGAGTGTGCACTCAAACAGTGCCTCGAAGACCCGCGGGACCTCTGGCTCCATCAGTTGTCGCAGTTTGTTAATGATAGCTGCCATGAGGCTTAGCACCTCGGCATCCCTACAGACAAAGAACCACAAGGGTATGAAAACCTCACGCCTCCGCGTCGCAACCTTGCCAGGCCAGTCCCAGAAAGCCCTTCAGCCCGGGTTGGTCGCGCCTCAACGCGCCTAGCCCCGGCACCACCCGGCGTGGGTTTCAAGCTTTGTGTCTGGCAGCGTAATATATGTTTGTCATGCAATTCTTACCGGGCATCCGGCACACTTCGCGCGTAGTCACCCAATAACGGGTCCATCATGGCAGGCACGTACGAGGCTGCAAGGAGCTGCGGGTCGTCGCATTTATCCACGAACGTTTCAATAAGCTTCAGGGCAACCTTCTTCACGCTACGCATGTACTTCACGAAGGTGCTCCTGCAAAAAATGCAGATACGTTGGTGAAAAGGCAGGATTCCCGGCGAGGTATACACACATTTCCGCAGGTATGCAAAAGATCACGAGAATCGAATCACGAACCCGTGACGCCCCGAATACAATTATTATCCCCGTACCTTGCTGCATTTGCACCCCCGGCAGCGATCGCCTGGCTGATAAGCTCGCTGTACAGCCTGTACACCTGTACGTCATAATTCCGGACTTTTTAAGCGCAAGTGCACATTCCGCCAAATATAGCAAAAGCCTACATGTGTTCGAATTCGCCAGGTCACCCTCTCAACGGATTACGCAGAACATTATCCCGCCATTTACGTCCGTGGAATAGACTTTTATCCGCACCTGCAGCATATCTTTGAAAATGACGTTGAACTGCACGAGGAATGGCTGGCCGAGCGAAGTGCAGACGGAAACATTCGTCTGCAACACGTTCTGTATGGACTTGATCACCTCTTGCTGCTTCAACACTTCCGGATTCGCATGCGCCTGGGCCAGGATTTGGCTCCACGTTGTATTCGGAGGCCCCATTAGCCGGTGCTGGGTGCGAGGAAGGAGTTTCCAATCTTCAGCATAGTTGTGAGGAATGGTTGTAAAATTTACTTACACGATGCAAGCATTTCCGTGTACTTTTCCAGCGTCGGCTCAAGCACAGCACAGGATAGCTAGCAGGCGTAACGTGCCTCACCAGGTAATCATCTCGCTTGACGGGGTCAGATTCCGCACCAATCATCAAACCCACAGCCTCGTAAAAAGTGTGGATCTGGTGAGGCTGCAGGTCCTGAATGGTCTCCGTTAGCCCATTAAGCAGCTCGCAAATGAACGGCTCGCGCTCCTGGACCTGTGGGATCACAATTGCCATATCATCCATTGCGCCTTGCGCTAAATGTACCGCAGCCAATTGCACATGCTAACCGATGTGCATAACGACGCAACGGGAAACATCACGCACCTGCATTACCACAAATTTGCGTCTGCATTTGTTGCAGATCTTTAAAAAGGTGTCGCAAGCCATGTCCTGGCATCGGGTGTAACGGCAAGAGGCAGCGACAAGATAGGTTTAGTGCAATTATGGGGAGTAAAAGCAATCGAAATACAGACTCGCAGCACTAATGCGGGCCGAAACCCCGCCATCGATAACAACCCAAACCAAGGGCAACAAATTAGGACAAGAAAAAAAACTCCCTTACCTGCACTCCGGGGTGCGTCTCGTGCATGAACTCGAACAGCTTGTTGACCACTGTTTTCAGGAATTTCCAATGCGCCCGCAGGAACTTGGGATATTGTCCCACCACGTACCTTCAGGTCAATCAAGCCAGGTCAATCAAATCAGTAGAACCAAGGCCGTGCATGGGATCCGAAGTAATACACTGGCACACACTAGCGTGAGCCCAGGCACAACCTGCCAGACAGATGCTCTGACCAGGTAGCCCTAATACAACAGACGTGTGCTGAACCTTAAATGATGCTTTGAAAAAGGTGTGCATCAGCAGAAATTTCAAGTAGTAAACCAGTGAAAGGCGAAGTATCGTGAATTAGAGCAAAGCCATCACAGCATACGCACTCACATGATGTTAGACGCAATAACTGCCTTGTTGTCCTTCCCACGCGTCACCTCACAGAGGTTCAAGAGATCCCTAATGACGGTGACCAGGAAGCGGTTCTCCTGCAAATTAAATTGAAACAGCCTGAGCCTTTGAGGCCGAAGTCCCCAGCGTTTTGCGAGCCACTCTGCAGTATAACGACTGAGGGCTTCTCTAAAAAAACCTATTGGACCCACCTGTTCATCCGCCATTGACCCTGCGATAGAGCCAATGGCCCAGCAAAGTGTATTCAAAGCACCCCACGTCCACTTGGCACCTGCGAGCTGCTGGAGTATTGGATATTTTGCAAGCACCACACATGCCACGTTACACAGGGCAGGAGAACCAATTTTAGTGTTATGAACGTAACTAGGGCCATTTACAAAGCACATCCAAGACAGGAAGGCCATAAGAACAGCAGTGGAAACGATGTGACCAGCACATACCAGTGGCAACCATTACTAATGAACAATGGGAAACCTGTCCTGTACCTGCATCCGCAGCTTCTCCAGCATCTGCTGCTCCGTGTCGTCATAGTCAAGGTGGCACAAGTATACAAGCGTCTCGCGCATCGACTTGTACTGCGCTAACACGTCGTTGTCCTTCATCGTTTCCCGCACAATGTTACCGTTCTCGTCTTCCACAACGATAACCTGTTCCCACGACACAATCCCATGGGCACCGGTACAAAAGAGTGAACAGAACCGTTGGTGTGAACAGCGGGTATGCCGGATGCTTCCAGGAAATGCCAGGGAATGCAGAACACTTATATAAGAATTTTTGTGCTGCTTGCTATATCCTCCAATCCGGAGTAAAAGCTGAACTGCGCCGCGTAACTTAACTAAACTTGTAACGCAGTCGAAGCGCTTAACCTCCACGCTTCTTTGAAAATAGGATGCGTTGTATCTGGGCTCACCTCCTCCGGTTTTGCCATTCTGCAAATCATTAACTGTCGCAGCTTCGATAGGATCGGCCGGTATAGCAATTTGCGACCACCGGTGGCAGGTGCCACGCCGTGCGTGGCAGGAGGCGCGAACATGAACGATACCCCGGTTGGGTCTGCCCCCGTACACGAGGAGGTATAGATGTCGGGGACGAAAAAGTTCCTGCAGAGCGCAAGGAAATACCGCATGGCGGTATGGTACATCATATAATAAACCAAGCCACGTGAAAGCATTAGAGCTTCATTTAGTAGACATCTGAAGCTTTGCTAATGCTTCTGGCGCACACGCAGTAGTGACTGCAACTTCATAAAACATCAGTCTACAATAAACACAGCATAAAGCCACCCAGCGGAATACTGGGCGGCACCTCAACTGTAAACATTATTGCGCCCGCACAACAGGGCGGCCTTACTGCATACCGGCCACCCACGCGGGGCCTCCAAACGCACCAGTAGTCGAGACACGTTTTGAAGACCTCAGTGTTATCCACGTAGGAGATGTTAACCAGGTAATCCAAGCCTGCCAGGAGCTGCGCCTGTGTCTCCGGAGCTTCCAGAATGCCGATATGCGCCTGCAGCATAGGTCACATCGCATTCGGAAAGCTCAGGCTACATCGATGAAGGCATTGATAGCTTTCCGTTGACCAGGTGCAATCCGATACCACCGCATACCGCATACACTGCCGAGCCAGATGCACTATAGTGCACACTGTCTCCGAGACGTCAAGAAGTCCCGCCCGCGGCACAGTATATGAAATGCGATGAACGAGGATGGTGGGATGCCGAAGTGTCAAGGATGGACCGTACTGAACCACTGTGATAGCAGCCTCTCCAGCCCCAGCCGCAGAGACAGAAGCCACCGGATGTAAGCTGGACAAGAGCTGTTGCAAATTCCAGCAATGCATACCAGACGCTGCCGGCCTTAGCGTCACCACCTTCTGAGTCTCGACATGCCTATGAGCTCGCTGCTTAACATGCATGCCGCAAGGCACACATGTACAACCCATTTGACTATCTGTCCTAGCCTTTGCAGAGGTGCAAGTAAGCCGCCCATGGCTGTGGGTATCATCTCGCAGTTAAGTCAAACACGCCATTTGCCCAACGCACCAATCCTGTTCCCATTACGCTAGACACTGGAAAAGCCCTTATTGCGCAATGGCTCGACAGCGCGATTTGCCCTGAAACGGCTAACAGAGAAGCCACTGATCAGAAGCCATGATCCATTGCAACTAGGTCCATAGACGTGGCCCAGAAAAACCAGTCAGGCAGTAGCATGAGCACTTCGGTAGACTCCGAAGGTTCCCACGAGGTCACACAAGATGCCCACAAAGGCCTTAGGAATATCACACTAAACACTTATTAGTAAACCGCATTTCAAGAGCTCTGTCGGCGGGTACTTCCTTCGTATGCCTCGTTGGAGGTTCCACTGACAAACGAGGTGCGGTGCTAGAATGACAGGACAACAGTCCCTTGGCCCTGACAGGCCACATGGGCGTGTTTCTGTGGTGGTATTTGCACATTCTCTATACCTCTTAAAGAATAATCACCCGAAAGCAGTTTAGGGCTGAGGTACGTGCTATCTGGAAGCTGGGAGCACGGCACGGACTGACGGGCAAAGGCGCAACTCCACACCACCCCTTGCAAATTGTACAAAAGACCTCCTCAGAAACGTCCCCATAATCCCGTATCCTGGGTTTGCACGTCTTCAGCGGCCCAGTGGAGCTGAACGATGGCCATGCATGAGTTGATTTACACCAGCCAGCACCCTGGGGTTCCGGTCAGCTGGACTCGTTCAACCACAGTGACTAAACACGTTTGTTCCAAAATGCCAAGCACTACTGACCTTGAAAAAGCTTGTGAAGAAAAGCGCCAGGTTTTGCACGAATTTCTGCTGGTCGTCTGTGCCTTTCTCGTACGCATCCGGGATATTGACAGTCGGTGGCACTACCAAGACCAATTGCCGCATGAAATAGTCATAGAATTTCGCAAACTGCGGATTGAATTCCGTCGCCATTTGAAGAGAGCCTACCTACAAAACCGGAGGTCGGGAAAGGGCACCAACAAGTCACATGCCAATGTGTTATCGTACGGTATGAATAATATGTTGAACCCAAGCTTACGCTTTCCAAAGCGCGCTACGTTCGAGCTCACACATCCGCAAACTCCTGCACCCTCTCGTTCCCAAACGCCCGCACCCTGGGGGCATCGTGACTTGCCCCCTTACCTACCTACTCCTTACCCGCACGTCCCACCTACCTCCATCAGGCACTGCAAGGCGACGTTGCGGAAGGGTGCCTGCGGAAAGAGCTGTAGGAGGATCTCCAACAGGTTGCCCTCAAAGATATAACCCAACGGCACCCAAGTCAAGTACACGCTAAGGGTTTCCAGCGTGGCGCGTATGAGCTCTGGCTTCCGTGTGTTGTTGAGCACGAACACACACAGTTCGTGAATAGCTTTAAACTCCATCGTTAAAGTCTGCTTCAGCTCCTTGGTTTTAGCCTGTGTTAAGTCCAGGCGTGCAAAGTCGAAAACCTCCTCGCTCAGCAGCTTGAGTATCTTCATGCTGTTCTCGCACAGCGTTTCGCTGGTCCGTGAGGCTGCAACCAGGTCAGGAATAAAGCTCTTCCAACGTGCTGGCCAGTCATGCTTTAGAATTTGCACAAGTAGAATGTTCAGCTTGTTGACGAAGGTACTCTCCTTCCGGAAAAGCTCCTCGGAGGTTGAAAATCGAATAATTAAGTTCGAAAGGTAGTTCTTGATGCCCTCACGCTGCTCCAGAGGAAGCGCTCCCCACTTGAACCGAATTACACTCTCGAGGATCTGCGCCAAGACCGCGTATTCTCAGAACTAATCTACAACATCCACCAGCTTTCAACAAATCCTGACAACCTGAAGTGCGAAGTACTTGGTAGGCTGATTTTGTGACACCTCTAGGATGGTGTCAACACGCGTCCAAGCCTGCGGGTGCTCCTGAAACTCCAGCAAGAGCTTCTCCGCGGCCGCCCTCTGTAATAAATATATAATGTAACTCCGCTCCTTTCGAAAAGCACGCACAACCTTGTCCGCACCTGCTGCTCGCCACCCACGACAGACTGCATGCTCAGGTTCACAGTTGCATCCAGCAAGCCCACATCGATGGGCTTGTTAAAGTCCAGCAGCGTGGCCGCCTGCGCCACGTCCCCCATGTTGCCGCCGCTTTCCTTCCCGCCTTACAAAGTGGTTGTAAAAGCCGATCGAGTATGTCAAAGGAGGCAGCCGTGATCCATAGAACAATATCACTTTATAAACGGTATGAAATGATGTAAGAAATTTGATTGACCAGTGCCTTGCTATGACTGCCGACGCAATTGTGGTAATTAGTTATATTTTTCACGGCAAACGGCAATTCCGGCTCCTCGTGCTGTATCACCTGTGCACGCTGAAGTGTTGCATTTAAAAAGGTAATATGTCATTATCCGGCGACCTTATTCTCTGTTTTATCGTGTACAGCCTCGAAATCATTCTTCGCCGTCCCCTCGACTTCCGATGCCCTTGAAGAATAACGCCCTTAAAATACCGTCGACTTGGTCCATAGATTACAAACCGCTGTTGAAAACAGCACGTAGTCGGCATATAGCAGCATCATAGTCAGCGAGCAGTTCCGGTTTGGTTGCAGTACTCTGGTTCCACTACCCCTTCCTAAAGTAAGTCATGTCAAATCAGTCCCGCTTGAGAGCTGTACAGCTTCGTTACCGCTACGTACCCCGGCGTGTCTTGGCAGTGCGATTGAAACTTTGCCAGAATTTTATTGCGATGGTGCACACTTACAAGAAGGACAGGGGAACGGCCGTCACACAAGCAACCCAAAACTCCATCGCTTGAGAACATGTTTCAAGGCCTCGCAGGCCATCATCACAAACACCATGAACCGCCACACCCTGCCAGCCTCAGCAAGGGACCGGCTCTTTTGGATAAGTCGCCATACCAATCACATACGGGTCTAAACGTCAAGCCCCTGCCTATTGAGAGCAGGTCGATCACAAAAATCCTCCCAGCCAGCTAGGAACTACAGGCGCGCGTATCGCCATCATGACTGCCGTATGGGGACGGTCAGTTCTCGACGGTCCTGTCAATCTCCCTCTTCTTCCACAGGAGCTAGCGGTGGGATCGCCCAGCTAAGGTCATGGTCTGCCATGGTTTGTCCACAGCTTACGGTTCCAATAGTGGCAGGCTTTTGCTGCCTGCAAGGTACTGTTATCAGCAAAAATACTCACACCGATGGGGCTTCAGTCATTCCCTGTCGCGAGCCAACAGGGCCACACTTTGTCCGCAGTTAGCACTCAACCTTTAAACCTTGAAAACACGGCTGGCCAGCGTGCCTCGGTCGCCTTGCTCACGCCTTGATGACGTCCTTAACCGCCTTGCGAAGCGCCGCCACAACGATAAGAATTTCCTTCTCCCCTAGCCCCACGTTTGCAAACATGACAAGGCTGGGGGGCGGCTGGTGGATGTCAAGCATGCTGTACTGAGACACGCCCACCAGCACACCGCCATTGACCAGCATGTGGTCTGCCACGTGAACTAGAGTTGACAAATCCTCCGATGCGTTTCCGCTGGGCTTTGCCAAATGCAAGTGCAAGACAGGGGACGGAAGCGTTGCACCGCCAAACAGCTTCAGGCCTGTCACGTTCCGAAACAGAAGACAAAACGGGAGGACAGATGCCATGATCTCATTTCATGCAGTGGACCATGGACTTCCTAGGCAGTTATACAGGCACACGGCCGCGGAGCAACGCAGCATGCACGCCTTGAATAAGGCTTAACATCAAATGCATTATGGATGTTCAGATGTAACTGTTGTTAGGTGTTATAGATATTCACCCTGTGCAACCCCGCGCGTGGGCCTGCAGCCATGGGCAGCTACGGACTGAAGCCTCTTGGCGACTCACCTGGAACTCCCTTCACCTGCTCCCTCAGGGACTTGATCCTCTTCTGCAGCAATGACATGAGCTCCTTGCCTGGACTGCTCCCGGTCTTGTCCGGCTTTAGCAGCTTGAGCATGGTGCTTCCCGCCACGGCGAGGTACGGCGGCAACGACGCGGAGAAGCAGTAACCCGAGCCTGAGAGACGCTGGTGCTCTACAATGTCCCGGTCGCCCACGCAAAAGCCACCCACGCTGCCCATGGCATGGCTCATGGACGCAACAATAATTTCCACCTGGCAGACGGTAGAGGATCGGGTGCATAAGCCAGGGTGCAGGCTTTCTATCAGAAACTGAAAAGGCAGCAGGCGCGAAAGCAGGAGAGCAAATGGAAGCGCCACAAGAGGCCTGCCTGCGAATTGCACACACCCCGACACAGGCCGCAGCATTCCAAGTCCGACAAGAGCTCAATCGCGTGTCCTGAGACCCGGGCAAGTAACGGGAAAACGTCTTCAAGGACTGGCATTTTCTGTTACATTGACGCACATGGACAGCGCGCGCAAAGTGAGCTTAACAGCAGCGAAAACAGAAGCTGCAGAAAGATGGTAGCCCAAGCAATGGTAACACCTGGCGCCACAACCCGTACCTGTCCTGGTTTGAGACCGAAGTGCTCAGAGGCTCCGCGTCCCGTGGCACCCAGGACACCAAACGCATGAGACTCATCGACCATCAAGCGGTACCTAGGAAACGAAAGTTGCATACAAGGCGGGTGTCAAATATGCACTCCAGCATTTCTACAATCCAAAGCCCAATTAGGAGAGCAGAGGGCATAAGGACTAAGGTAGGCAAAAAGCACGGTGTGGGGGTCATGATGACTAAAAGCGGACTTCTAAGCAGGCTATCACCAAAAGGAAGGGCACGGGCACATGTAGCTGCCATTACACCAGCGGTGAACAAGGCCACGCAAGGTCAAGATGACAAGTCCCAATCTCACTTGTATTTGTTCTTAATCTCCCAGATGCTCTTGAGCTGCGCCACATCACCGTAGTTGGCGTAGATGCCCTCCACCACGATGAGCTTCCGGCATAGCGGCTTGCTGCGGGGCACAAACCGTCAAAGGGTCGGGTCGGGTCGCGTCATAAGTATGATACCTTCCCACCAGGTGCCCCTGCACGTACCTGATCCAAGAGAGCAGTGAACACCAGTGCAGCATGAGCACCAACCAATCCATGACCACAGGCTCAACAACAGCACTCCCAGGAACACATGGGCGGCGCACCACCGGCGGGAATCAGACCACCAACACGCCATCAGCGCACCACCATTTGACACGGTCTACAGCTCGCATGGTCGCTTACCGCTTTGCTTTCTCCTCAGCTTCCAGCTTCTCAATCACGCGCGTGAGGTCGTCCATGTCGTTATGCTTAAACGTAGCCACCTTGGCCCGGCTGACGGTGCAGCCCGCTTGGATGGGATATGAGCAGTACTGCGATTTAGGTTAAGTGGGCGGTCGGAATGAACCCGTAAGCCCTACTAACCCAAAAGTCCCCCTGGTACATACATCGCGGTATGGCGAAAACCAGGGCCATGACAACACACAAAACTAGCACCCGACAAGCCACTATTTATGCAGAGCCGGACGCATCGGTGCCGAGGCCTCTAGTGACTGCATCGTACGACAAATGCTTCAGTACTCGTGCCTTACTTAAACCCATGCCTTCATGTACAAGTACTGCCGGATAACATGGAACCATGTTTTCTGACAGGACTGTTTCGCGGGCCAAGAGGCCTCCTTGCGGTCACAGCCAGTGCAGCTACCTTCATGTCATGTTCCTACCTCGTCACAAACTATTATGTCTTTTCGGTTGGCGAACGCAGGGATAATGGAAGCAATCGTGGCCACATCGTATGAGTATATGATAGCGGCCTCCGTGCCATAGTAGTCCGCAAGCTCCTTCTCCAAGTCAAGGTGCTTGTCAATGGTGCCGTAGAACCCACGGGGTCCGCACGACCCCACACCGTAAGTGTCCACCGTCTCAATGCTATCTTTCTGTGAGTGGCAAAAGGGTTGGGAGCTTACGGGATGGGTATAGTCTCCAAAAAGGCATGACGTTACGGCACCATGCATACATTCCCATGAGCGTTTGCCTCTACGCAGGCCTTCCTAATTCCATGCCCTTACCTTGTTTTCTTTATTGTTTGCCATGTTTAGGTAGTTAGATGAGGCCATGTTGACCACTTTATCCTTGCGCCCCTTTAGGTACACATACGGCCCGTCTAGCCTGAAGCAGGATTGGAGGCGCGAGGAGTTGTTCAGGTGCCAGAATTAGAAAGCCAAATGCAATAAGCTGCATGCATGCCATGCGCATTCCATCACATCACTCCATCGCAACTGGAGGCCGTTTCACATGCTGCCAAGAGAACCGTATAGCGCTATATCGTAACCTGTTCCTTGCCCCAAGCACGGATGACGCGCGTGGGAGGAAGACGCACCAAGGCAGCCAACAAGTTCTGCCTCTTTACCAAGCCACAGGTAGATTCAGGTAGGTAAGGGGCACTACGGAACGTTTCATCATGGCGGGGAGTTCACAAGCTCGGGAGCGTGTGGCCATCGCAATGCACCTTCAGGACGTGCCACCAGGACTGGTCCCGAAGTCGCCTCCACATACATACTCAGCCACCGTACATCATCCGTCGCCATGGAGCAATCGCCGTACCATACGTTCAGTCCACCCAACCACTACGCTACGCCCCCTCACCCATGCTGCATGATAACGATACCCCAGCCACCCTGCATAAAAAAGGGCCTACCCGGTGATTACTTGGGGCTGTGGCGGCTCCTCCACCCCCGCCAAGGTAGGTACCAGGGGCTCTGGCGTCCATTCCCGACACAACTGCTCAATTTCCTACGCGGATCAATTCCCAGAATCCAAGCATTCTGATTCAAGCATTCTGAGGACGGGAAGCCGGGATCACAGCGAATGTGCTCCTCCGAAAATCTCTACAAATGAAAACACAGTATTAGCATGTCTACACATTAAGATTTTTGATACCTTTTCAGTTAGGGGACCCTCTGCGCGGCGTTGCACTTTGAAGGAATGTTGAAGTGCTAGATACACGATGGCCAAAATCAGCACGCCCTCAATGACAAGATGTCCTTTGTGCTCCAGGAAGTAAGCTGGATGAAGCTTGCCGCCAGGACCTACGATGTCCCAAAAGGCGCGAAATGCGTGTACAATACCGCTGGGACTGAGGAGGTTCACATTATGGAAACCTTCAAAAGCTGCGGCTGCGTGTGCCCCTGCTAAAAGTCCAGCTAAGGCTACGTAAGCTAAGGTTGCAAGCGCCAAACCAGCCAGGACGCGTCGGGGTCTCAGCATGCTTGACTTCGTGCTGCTATCATAGGAAATTTACAATTTTCGCAAGTTTACCAAATGTTTTTATTGTGAGTCAAAGTTACCGAAAGCCTACATAATTGAAATAGTGCAGGTACAACTACCGACCAACGCATCGCAATGACACTGACACACCCATCAGACAGATTATGCCTTGTCATGGATTACACAATATTTAATTGCACGTCTATACTTTGTTCCTAGATAACTTCTGTTGTAATTCATTACCTTCACCCTGCGAAGGTACATCCCTTTCAGCCGCTAGCCATGGGAGGCATCCTAGTCGATCGATTTGGGAAACCAGTAGCTTTTCGTGAAGGTGTTGCTGCAGCACGTAGGATAACTGTCCAGGTGCGCTTGTGCCGATCGGCTACTGACGTCCTTGCCCCAACGCAACCAAGACCTATTGCAAAATGATGAAACCGCGATCTCTGTCATGGATGCCTTTTCTAGGTGGCGATCAGCTCTGTCACGAAGCAGGATGGGCATGGCATTTCGCTGGCGCTACTCGGTAAAGCCAGGCTTGGAACACTGTGTGTATAGCAGATGTATTTCTTCTGTATTTATTGGATTTGGGTTACCCCTAGACTATGCATAGTTGGCGCTCAGCAACAGCCGCCGCCGCGAAAGTAAGGGTTGGCGTGTAGATGCGCATCTATGTACCTCTGGCTTTTTAGGGTTAGTGGTCAGACCTTTCCTGCTTTTGATCAACGTTCGGCGGGGCCATCGATACAAGTTCGTTAGGGGTTTCCTCCCCTGAGCGCTCCGAATTTCTGGGTATTACGTACGGCGCCATAGAGGGGCCTCCAGTTTACCCATCAGCCATGCACCGTCCTGGCGTTAAACAGTGTTTACACAGGCGTTCGTGGTGACTAGCTTTGAGTGCTAATACAGGCGCTAGTTAGCTCCCTTCCATTCATCCCTATGGGCTGCTGCTCGGGGGAAAGCTATGTACTCCAGGGGTGGCCCCTGCGAATCGTTCTTCCACGCATCCACCAAAGCACAGCACGCCCATGCCTCCTTTTTCTACTCAGCCAACCCAACCCAAGCCATATCAAACTCGGAGCCATATAACACATGGCCGGGGCACAGACCAGGTACAAGAGCTAAAAAACATGTGGAATGTGACCCATGGGCCTTCATCCACGCAGGTGCTGTCGCCGACCAGCTACAGCTGCTGGCATCCCTGGGCTATGACCTACAGCTCGTGATGTCGGGTGGGTATCGCTGGGTTGGGCATGGTAAGGGTGAGGTCGGGTGGGGTGAGGGCTCCCTTGGGCCATCCACTCTCCCTGGGGGCCCCGCCGCCCTGTGATGAGGTGCTTGTGGCCGTGATGGGGAGGCAGCACGAGAAAGGCCGGCTTTGTATGGCAAGGTGGTGCAGCACGGGGTGATCAGGAGGAGAGGTGGAACTGTACTGTACCTGTTGTGGAGAGGGAGACCAGGACGCCGGTCTCGACTTCGTTAGCTCGCCTATGACGCTGGGCTGGTGGTGCTCAGGCGCGAAGCAGAGCAGGGGTTCACCTTTTAAAGCTAGTTTGACCCAGATTTGAGGATCCAGTTTGAATCCATTGAGGTTGAGTGCGCGGGAAACAGCGGCCCAACGGAGGGATGACAGAGGAGAGGGAGGAGGAGGAGGAGGAGGAGGGGGCAAAGGGCTAGTTATTGAGCTCAGCGACCCAGACCAATCCCAACGCACGACGGCTCACACACGTGCGCGGGTAAACAATCCTGAGAGGGACGGGAACAACGGGATAGGAGGGGGAGAAATAGGGCGAGGAGGGCGGCGTTGCTCGGCGCCATGTCTTAAGGTCTCAGCTAACCTTCTTCAGGTTTTGTGTACATCTGCCTTCTTACTGGTATCCGTTGATATGGAAGATAAGAGCTAGGAGGGGGCCTCTCCAATCACACGCAATTTTGTCATTACTGTGCGTATTTTATAAAGCAGTTAGTGTCTATTTGTGTGATTGTGGCTATGTGTGCGTGTGTGTGTGCCCGCTCCTGCACGTGGGAGATGGATGACCGTACATCCCATTGCTGTTGTTGTTGTGGATCACCCCCCGGCCCCCGACCCCGTCTATCTCTGGTATCTGCTTCAATCGCCAGTGGCTCGTCTTACCCACGCTCCCCCCAGGCGACGAGAGCGCGTGCGAGAAGGCCACACACGCGGTGCAGAATCTGCTGAAGCTCAAGGTATGTCTGTAGGCGTGCTGGATGGAGGGCGGGAGAGAAGATGAAGTGCGTCAGGCGGCTGTTTTACTTGATCAGTTCGTACCCCTTAAACCATTATCGAATTGAGCAAGAGAGACGGACAGACATATGTGCCGACACAGGCCTTCCCACATTGCTTTTGGGTCCTGTCTTGGATCGGCTCGCTACTCAAGAACGCAGTGCCGTAACAAAGCTTACCTGTCGTGGTACGTGTAAAACTCACCTTCACGCCCCCCTCGCGACCGACTGCATGCCTAACTGCATCGCCCACCCTATGCGCCGTGTACAGGAACCGGTGGTGGTGACGGGATGGGATCACATCCTAGAGGAAGGGGTGCTGGCCACCGCGGCTGCCAGTGCCTTTGGCGCCAATCTGCTGGTGTATCTGTCCGAGCTTAAGGGTGTGGAGACGCCTGAGGTGAGGCCGGGGGCGGCCGAATGGCTGAGCGGCAGGTTGTGAATCCCCCCTTGGGAAGGTAATGATGATGATGATGATGCCATGAACCAATGATCGATGATGGCACGGGTGGTGACGGTGGTGTGATGATGTCGTATGCCGTATACCGTACAGGGCCGTATCGCACGTGTATACCAGCCGGCGGCGGGGGAGGGGGCCCCAGCTCCCGCCCCCATTGTCGCCGCTGCCTGGGCCGCCGCCTCCGCCCCTTCGGCCGCGTGTCCTGTGGTTCTGGCGGCGCTGAGTGAGTCCGACGTGCTGTTGAGGGTGGTGGCGGGGCAGGACGTGGGGACTCTGGTGGACCCGGCCGCGGCGGAGGCGGCGGGGGGTTCCAAGGCAGCGGCGGCCGCCAGCTCAGCACGGGACATGGCCGTACGGGCGCGGGCCGCCAGCAGGAAGCTGCAGGTGAGGTGTTGCTGTGCAGATGGGGGAACTGGGGGGGGTGTGTGAGAGAGAAGGCAGGGGGGAAGGGGGGAGGGTAGAAGTGTGTGGGGTGTGGGGCGCGGAGGGGGATGAAACAGGGGAACAGAGAGAGGGCAGGGGCAGGGGAGTGGGTGGGATGATGCCGCTTTCGTAGGGTTGTGGTGAGGGGTTAGGTTTGCTTTCCACAGCCGGAGGTATTCGCAACGTCCTAACACCCCAATCCCCCCTTACCTGCTCGCTCTCCATTTTCCCCACGACCCGTACGTCACCCGCCGTACGTCACCCGCCTAACCCAGTCCATGAGCAGTGAGGAGCGCAGTGCCGTACTGCTGCGCATCGCGGATGCCCTCATAGCGGCTCAGGAGGATATCCTCAAGGTCAGCTGCCTGATGGGATCAGGGGGGGGAAGTGATTATGTGGAAATCATATGACGATGACCATGAAAAACCTTTTCCTAATGTATACGTGCCTTAATATTATAATGTAAGTACGATCATAATGATACAAACATTCTAATAGCAATAATGATGATGGTAATAGTGATGATGATGCAAAAGGGGAAAAGAGGCCACTGTCGACACACCTCCAAAGCACCAGCAGCTGCCGTAGGGGTCTAAAGCAGCGTTACGAGAGGTTACTGCCCGCTATGAGGTTGGGGGGGGGAGGTATACCCGGATCTGGCGCGGGAACGGTAGTGGGGGGTGGTTTCCCCCTCTCCTCTTTCTCTCTCTCCCTCTCCCCCCTCTCTCTCTCTTTCTGCTGTCCCTTCCTTTTTTCCTCGACAGAAATACGGTCCGTCCATAACCTGTGTGTGGTATTGTGTTGCGTCGTGGTGGTTGTGTATCCTAAACAGGCTAACGCACTCGACGTGGCGGAGGCCACAGGCCGCATCAGCGACTCGCTGCTTCAGCGCCTGGTGCTGAAGCCGGCCAAGATCGCCCAGCTGGCGGAGGGCATTCGGTCCATTGCGGCGCAGGAGGAGCCCCTGGGGAAGCTGCTGAGGAAGGTGGAGGTGGCCAACGGTGAGCGGTGTGAGGGGCGGGTGTGTGGGTGTTGGGGTGGGTGAGAAGACTTGGGGGGGGGGGAAAGGGGGACTCGGGGCGCTACTGCTCGACACGGGAAGCTATGACCGGGAGGATTGAGGAAGTGACAAACCCATTGGGTTTTGGGGAGCGAGTGGGGAGAGGGAAGAGGAGCGGTATGCGGTATTATGTATCGTGTTTGTGTGTGATTGTGTGCGTGCGTGGGTGGGTGGGTGGGTGAAGTATATGTACACGTGATCTTGTGTGTAGGAAATCCTTTTTTTCCTTACTCAGCTCTCCTCCCCCCACATCCCCGTCACATTCCGCCACCACCCCTACCACCACCACTCCCCGCTGCTGGCCCCGGTGCCAGGTCTGGTCCTGGACAAGGTGACGGTGCCCATCGGGGTGCTGCTGGTCATATTCGAGGCGCGGCCTGACGCGCTGCCACAGATTGCCTCCCTGGCGCTCAGGTCCGGAAACGGCCTGCTGCTCAAGGTAAGGGGGAAAACGCCGTGTGTGTGTGTGGGGGGGGTGGGAATGGAGGGGTGTGTGTGTATGTGTCTCATGTCCTCCCATCCGTCCTTTCCCCCTTTCCCCCTTTTCCCCCTTCGGCTTTGGACACAGCCGGCAGTCAGTTGTTGATTTTCCCTTCCTGGCTTTGCATGATCATGACTTCCCCACCTCTCCCCCTCTGTCCTCTCCTCCCCCACATAACACACACGACACTCCAGGGAGGCAAGGAGGCGACCCACTCCAATGCCGCCCTGCACAAGGTGATTGTGGACGCCATAGGGCCCTCCCTGGGCCCCGATCTGATCGCGCTGGTGACGAGCCGGGAGGAGATCGAGAGCCTGCTGGCGCTGGATGACGTGGTGGACCTGGTCATCCCGCGGTGAGGGGGGGGGCGTGTAGAAGGGGGAAGAGGGGTAAGGAAGGGGGGAATACAGGATTTCTTAAATTTTTATATACTGTGTCTTGCTTCCTGTTGTATCACGACTGTAGAAAAGTACCGAAAAAAGTACCTTCTCACACGCCCGTTGGCCATCTCCTTTGCTCATCCCTCGGCCCAATCCTTTCAGCGGCTCCAACGCGCTGGTATCCCACATCAAGCGCAACACGCGCATTCCCGTACTGGGTCACGCTGACGGCATCTGCCACGTGTATGTGGACGAGGAGGCTGACCTGGACACGGCCCTGCGCATCCTGCTGGACGCCAAGACCGACTACCCGGCTGCCTGCAATGCGGTGGAGAAGGTGCTTGTGCACAGGAGCTGGGCGGACAAGGGGGGGCTGCAGGTAGGTGCAGGGGGGGCTGGGGTGGGCTGGGGGTAATGGGAGGGGAAAAACACAGCGGAGGACACAGCGACCGGCTGTGGCTGGAAACACCGGGCTGTAGTTTAATAGACTGGGATATTGATATTTCCTGTGAATGCAACGTGAAGGTATGCTGTGTGTATTTGCGTTTATATGTAAGTGCATGGGGGAGGTACGTGTATGTGAGAGGGGGGAAACTGGGGGGGACAAGGGGGGGAAAGCGGGGTTGGTAAGCTTAGCTAGGCACGTGGCGACTTAAGAACCTGGGCTAACGACGTGTCATGGTGACTGGTTCAGGAGTTGGACCGATAAGCAGGAAGGAAGAGGAGGGGAGGGGAGGGGAGGGGGGACCTGCTGTTTTCGTACTGTTTACGATACGTTTGCTGCTCCCCTCCGCAGCGCCGCTGCGTTTCATGACTTCACTCACTGATTCCATCAGAGTGCCTTCTCGCGCCACTCACCACCATATTGCCCTTCTTCCTATTTCTCACGCCCTCACAGACCATTACAGAGGCTCTTCAGAAGGCCGGTGTCAAGGTGCACGTCGGTGAGTACGACTTGACATGTGTACAGCAAAAAAAACGGTTAGATGTAACTGCTTGGGAGAGAACGGAAAAAAAACCAAATGTCTGTTTGTCTGCCTGTCTGTCTAGTTGGCAGGCTGGCAAAGGCAAACGAAACGGCAGCGAACGGCTGACGGCGGCTGCTTCCTTGGAGCAGCTCCTGACTCTCCCCCACTCCCTGGGGGGAAAGTCGTCCTAGGTGTGGGTTTGGATTACGTGGCGCACCCCACGAGAGAGGCGGGAGAGTCAGTTCGCGAGGCGGCAATCGCGCCCGGGAGCCCCTGACCTCCCCCTACCTATCTTCATGGTTCGGATATCACTCCGCGGTCTATGTGGGGGATATTGCGCACCCGCCAGCACCCGCCACCTCTCACCACCCCCACCCATACCACCAGGTGACAGTCTAAAGAGCTCGCTACCAGATCTACCCGCGGCGCCCGCGGCCCGGCACGAGTACAGCGCCTTGGCCGTGACCTTGGAGGTGGGGTCCATGGCGCGGCTATGACCTGCTGTATGTGTGCCGGTATGTATGTGCGCATGTATGTATATATGTGTTGTAATGAACTGGGCGGCGAGGAAGAGGTACTGAGGTCTGTAGGTACGTATGTATGTATGTACTGCGTATAAAACTGTACTGTGTATCCTGTGACCATGTGTAGAGATATTTAAGTTCTCCGCCTTTGCCGTAACCCCCCTTTTTGGGCCCCCGGGCTCCACCCCCGTTATCTTCCCCCAGGTGGTGGACAGCATGGAGGCTGCCATCGACCACATACACAAGTAAGGACGCATTCGAGGAAGGGGAGGGAGAGGGAAAGAGGGGGAGGGGAGGGGGAGGCAGGGGGGAGGGGACAGAAGTGCGTGTGCGCCTTGCTAAGTTGGCCTGATGGTGCCTAGTTGTATTATTTTGGTGCCTTCTTTGTGCCTTCCCTAGTCTCATCATGTGCGATTCCTGGATGGTATTTATGTACTTTACTGTACGGCAGGTACGGCAGTGCGCACACGGATTGCATCGTGACCAAGAACGGCGAGCGAGCGGAGGCTTTCCTGCGCGGTGTGGACAGCGCGTGCGTCTTCCACAATGCCTCGACTCGCTTTGCGGACGGCTTCCGCTTCGGACTGGGAGCCGAGGTGAGCATCCGCAGGGCCGTCCTTGGCCGCTGCCTGGTTTGGTGTCTACTGAGTGCTGCTGCTGCTGCTGCTGCTGATGATGATGATGATGATGATGATGATGTGGTGGTGGTGGTGGTGGTGATGGCGGTGGCGATGGTGGTTCTGCTGATGCCTGACAGTGGGTACCGCCCAGTAGGCAGTGTACGACAGTCGCTGGCTCTACCCCCATGGACGAGCCGCGATCGTCCGTACGGTACTGTCATTGTTGTACTTCGTCGTTCAGCTTACCCACAAAACCCACATAAACGATTGAGCGTTTGACGCGGCTGTAGTAATAGTAGTAGTAATAGTAGTAGTAGTAGTAGTAGCAGCAGTAGTAATAGTAGTAGCAGTAGCAGTAATAGTATTAGCAGTAGTAGTAGTAGCAGCAGCAGTAGTAATAGTAGCAGAAGCAGTAGTAGTAGTAGTAGCAGCAATAGTAGCAGCAGCAGTAGTAGTAGCAGCAGCAGCAGTAGTAGCAGCAGTAGTAATAGTAGTAGCACCAGTAGTAGCAGCTAATAGTCAGCATAGTAGTAGCAGCAGTAGTAATAGTGGCAGCAGCAATAGTAGCAGCAGCAGTAGTAGTAGCAGCAGCAGCAGTAGTAGCAGCAGTAGTAATAGTAGTAGCACCAGTAGTAGCAGTAGTAATAGTGCAGCAGCAGTAGTAGCAGCAGTAGTAATAGTGGCAGCAGCAGTAGTAGCAGCAGTAGTAATAGTAGTAGCAGCAGTAGTAGCAGCAGTAGTAATAGTAGCAGCAGCAGTAGTAGCAGTAGTAATAGTGGCAGCAGCAGTAGTAGCAGCAGTAGTAATAGTGGCAGCAGCAGTAGTAGCAGCAGTAGTAATAGTAGTAGCAGCAGTAGTAGCAGTAGTAGTAATAGTAGCAGCAGCAGTAGTAGCAGCAGTAGTAATAGTAGCAGCAGCAGTAGTAGCAGCAGTAGTAATAATAGTAGCAGCAGCAGTAGTAGCAGCAGTAGTAATAGTAGTAGCAGTAGCAGTTTTCCCTTTTTCAGGTCAGCTGAAACGTCCGGCGGTTGTCTTTACCATCCGGCGGTTGCTGCAACCAACAACATATAGCCAACAAATATCTCGTATACCAAAATTCAGGAAATCCGCAATACCTCGCGTGTTCGCTATCGCTTTTGCAATACACACACACGCACACACGCACGCGCGCAGGTCGGGATCAGCACCAGCCGCATCCACGCGCGCGGACCGGTGGGGGTGGAGGGTCTCCTCACCACCAAGTGGGTGCTGCGGGGTGGCGGTCACATCGTGGCCAAGGACACCGGAGTGAAGTTCACACACAGGCCGCTGAGCTCAGACGACAGCGCGCGGGGGGAGGCGGAGCCGCAGCAAGGCGGCAGGCGGCGCCAAGATGGCGGAGGCCGCTGTGCAGTGATGTAATAATCAATGGAAGAGAAGCAGCTGGAGGATATGGAGGAGGAGGAGAGTGCGGAGGATATGGAGGAGGAGAGGATTAGGCGGGGCGGGAGGGTTGGGGTGGTCGGGTGTCATGTGCGTCTTGGATACGAAGTTTCGAGTCAGTCTTTGGGAAGACGAAGGGGCTTGAGAGTGTAATCCCGTTTTGAGAGGCTGGCTGGGACGTATATGTACTGCTTTTGTTGGCGACAGAAGAGCTGGGAACTGACGGTGGGTTGAAACACTTGGCAGAGCAAGTGATAGGCGTACGGAAGATGGTGTGAACTCATCCACAACCGTCTATAACTGTGAGCCTTTTGTTATTAAATTTTGCTGCATATTGTTGTCATGTTGCTTTTTTGATTGCGACACCTGAGGAGGACATATGCCGATGCAATGTCAAGGTTAAGTTAAAAACTGTACTGTGCTGCCTGCATGCCGTATGCCACACAAGGCGTATCTCTCTCAGCTCGCCTAAGCCATTGTTAACGTTCGGTGTGTTTTGATTAGAGCACTCGCCAAAACAGATTGAAACAAAAGCAAATCGTACTCCACAGCTATTGAAAATAGACACGTAAGCGCAGGCAAACGCTTTATTGGTGGTTTCTTCGCTACATCGCATTGGGCGGTGGAGATAGCTGAGGTCTTCTTGGCGGCAACAGACCAGCAATACTCTGGGGATAGAAATTACGCCGGCGCTGGCTAAAACTACAGGGAAGGAACTGGGATTTGGTCTCGTCCTGGCGTTTTGCAATAGCCAGGCGTGTTGTCGCCAGGAGACGTTAGCTCCTACTTGGAATGATGGACATGAATCATAGCTCCGCTGTTTGCACTGAGGTGGAATGCGGAAGCAGCAAGTTTTTGCAAAAATCGCTCTTCCGCGATTTGTTCTTGCCCATGCTCGAGGCTGTCGGGCTTGTCATCATCCTATTTGGCCTTTTCATTATATACGGTGAGGTGTTGTATCCATCGGATCCGCTTCTAAAGGACTCTTTGCGTTTGGTTTTGCTTACAAGCCATATGCGCTCCCACGTCATCACTAAAAGGACGCCATTCTGCTTTACTGCAGGGAGATCGATCCTTTCTCCTGATGGAAAACATGTAACATAGAGGACCAGCGTTCCGATCATGCACGGTTTGGGGCAGGAGAACTAGCGCAGTGACGTGCAGGGTGTATGACCCACCCAAGTCATTTGAAATACTGTTTGGGCGAGGTAATCGATGTTCAGGTTGCTGCCTGCGGTCCGTTCAGTCCCCAGCCGTCGGCGTCAGAAACGGTAGGTTCGCAAACGCGCTATCGACGGCATTACGCTTCGTTGACGAAGTAGCAATTATAGCTGCAAGCGATGAAAACTGCGCTTACGCGGATAGAATCTTGCTGTAGAAGAAGAATTCATGGGAATCGCAAGGGAAGATAACCATATTATTCGTGTGTTTGCTGTGGCAGTTTACGTGTATTTCTGTTCAGCCCACGAAAAAGGGACTCATTGTATGTTTCCGTCGCATGCACAGTGAGCACTAGTGTGTATTTTGTTATGGCTGGAGTGTTCGTTTCCCCTCCTCGGAGCCGGATGGGAGAGCGAGGTGAGCATATGGAGGCTGCTAGCTACCCCCTCTACGCGTCTCCAGAACTGAATATATCTACCGAATATCGTTAATTTGTTGTTTTGCTTCCGACCTGGTGTTCAGAAGACTTGTGGCATTTTCCCAGCTCCCTCTTGATGAATGGGCCAAACAGCAGCGGGTGTTGGCTGACAGCAAGTCCCAGCACGTGTGTTGGGCGCGGGTGATGACCTGGCGGCCAGCGCGTGTACTACCACACCCCCGCATATTTATTGTGTGCTCTCACACCCCTTGCTATCTTGTCCTATTACTGCTTAGCGCTCAAACAGCTTGTGGCAAGCAATAATGCGGTATATGACCTTGCGCTTAAAGCTTCCTTGCAAAAGCAGCATGCGCAAAGATAGAATATATAGGGAATGGCGGGGATGAGCCGCATCAGGTGGGGAACGGACGTAGAAGACCCCTTAACTACCGATTGCCCCGCACCTGGGTGGAGCACAGGAAATGTATTTTTGTTTGTGAGGGGCTTTGATTTGCTTGTCGATCGGAGTCGGACGATGATATCGAAGCTTGACGATGCATTCATCGTGATTTCGCTGCGGTCAATCGCGCGGTGAGAGTATACTCACACCTCAACCTGCAAGACCTTGTCCTCGAGAAGCTTGGGGGGTTCCCGAACACTCGAAGGACCGACTTGCACTGGGAGACCGTGTCTGGGTGTACGGACGTGTGTCAAGCTGTCATATAAGGTCCAATGATCCCTACATAATAGACCTACCGTGTCGTTTTATTTACGCGCATGCCATACGTGCAACCATATATAGCCATTTTCCGTACGTTGACCCGCCGTATCCTGCCCCCGAAGCCCCCAACTTGAGCACGCGTGTGCTAGCTGACCGAGTAGAGGTTGGCAGTTGGCCTGTTTCGCTGCCACTGCGGTGTTGTATTTTTCCGACGTCAAGCAAGACACGCTTGCGAGCGCGCGGTCGTTTTGTTTTATTGCGAGCGCGGTCCGTGAGCCTCCTGCGGCTTCAGGCATGTGGGTTGCAGCTTGGCTATTTATTTTATTACCGGTTTCAGTATTGGATGTTTCATCATTTCAGTTTCTGTTGATGTGATTTTGTTTAATTTGTTCCGGCCTGTTTGTTCCGGTCTGCATGTTCTGCATTCAGTGTGTGCGTGCGGAGAGCGGCTGCATTCCACAACAAGATTTCTTTTGCTGTTGTAGCTGAGTAACGTGCACGATGGATGTCAAAATTACTTGTACAAGTGTAGAAATCCGTACAGGATTTAAGGCAGAGTGTTCTGGTGATAATGCACGTTTGGGGGAATTAAGTATAGTATCGCATATAGACGACGTATTTGCCCTTCCTGTATATCGCTTCCCACACGTTCCCGACAGAACAACAAAAAAATTGGAAAACAGTGTTTTCACATAGTATGTAAGGTGCTTTCACATAGTTCATTTTCGGACGATGGATGGTGGTTACACCACCTAACAGACACAACGACAACAGGAACAACGCGGGGGGAACCCTCCTAAAACCCCCCTCCAAAAATGCAAAGCACCGCGTGTATAGATGGCACGCGGCATGAGGATCCATGCATGTCACAAAAGTCACAAGACGAACACCTGATCGGTCTGCCCACGAAGCCAGAGAGGCTACTGATGGGGGGAAGAGAGACATGCAAAGGCTTACAACAATATTATTATTACTACTACTATTATTTATTATTGTTGCTGTCGTTTATTGCTGCAAAACGTCCGAAGCAGAGGTGAGCCTGGAGCCCACAACACAGATCCGATTTTGAGCAAACCGTCCACGGCTGTACCTGGTTTGCAATATATAATGCAGTGGTCGTACAAACTCGACCGATGAGTTTTTCTCTCAACTTCTTCCGCCACTGCGCCCTTACTGCTTGGCTGCAGCTTCGTAAGAACTTGCTTACATCCCATAAAAAGAACCCCGCCACCGCATACATACATACATACAACCTCAGGCGCATATACACACCTGCTTGGATGCTGGTGGTGAGTTGCTAAACCCAACGAATACATTATTCTGAAATCGGATGGGGTGAATGGATTAGGGTGCCCCTCTAGCAGGGGAGAGCAGGGAACTGCTTCGGGAAAGGGGGCCGCTGGTGAAGCTGTACCACCCTGTAACAACAAACACACCTGCATTCCTCTCACGCACATCTAACACAGCCATCTACACATCATTACAGCACAACATCAAAGCACGCCTACACACATACACGCAGCGCGGCACATTCTGCCGCACGCTGCGCTCCGCACCAGCAGCTAAGGTCCGAAACCAAATGATTCCCTCCTGCAACACACCCCGGCAACATTTTTACTACCATTCCGCTCTCCACGTATGAGTGTATGAGTGTGTGTGTGGGGGGGGAGGCGTGGAGTACGTCAAAATTGTGCGTCAAAATTTTGGCACTCACCCATACATATGCGGAATACGTACTACTTATGGCTATATTCTTGCTAACACCCACACCCACACCCACACCCACACCCACACCCACACCCACACCCAACACCCAACACCCAACACCCACACCAACATCGCCGTCATCATACATGACCGCCATCACCATCGCCATCATCACCACAATGAAAGCCTTAAAACACTCACAAAATTGCCCTGCCGGCGCAGTGAAACGCGCTGTGAAACGCCGGCGCCTGATTCAGGAGAGAAATAACCCATTAAATTGTAAGTTACCGATTTGCTCAATAAACTAGCACTGGAGCTCTGGCCAGGATTAATATTCACCAAGTCAAGAAACTCGCTCACCGGCAGTGGCCGCGGTGTCACCTAGCAGGGAGAGATCTCCGTCGGCCGCTGTGGAGCATCCAAGGGGATTCTCAACCAGCAACTGCAGCTCAGCACGTAGAGCCAACCTAACGGCCCTTGCGACGTTGGTTACGTTACCTCTACAAATCCCTTAAAAAGCGTCGTGGCGGAGACGAGGGGTCGCTGAAAACGGCAAATGCCTTGGTCCCTCATGCGAGGACCACCTACATGCCTCACCTCACCTCACCTCACCTCACCTCTGGAACGTAAAAACAAAATATGGAGAGAAAGCGAACCAGTTGTGAGGCTTCGGGCAGCAGCGTCGAAACGTCCACACAAATAAAACAACGAACTTACTGCTTCATAAAACACACACACACACACACAGACACACTCACAAGGGGGAGAGAGAACACGTATGATCGGCTCCTCCTCAGCGTCAACCGCTCCAAATTTATGTACGGCCGACGACATGCCGGATAGAACCTCCCCCTCCCCTCTGGCAGCTAGCACCAGCGGCGTTATTAAGTACCCGAGCTCCGACCACCGAGCAAGGCAAAGCAAGGAAAACTGCCAGAGGCAACAGGACCAGACATGACGGCACTGGACAACTCTAGTAATGTTGAGAACATGCAAGTATTAGACATTCGAAAGACGCTGCTGCTGCTGCTGTTGCTATTGCTGTTATTGCTGCTGTTGCTGCTGTCGCTGTTCCGATTTAAAGCTCCTCATTAAGGCATCCAGACTGAGCGCGTCCAGGACCTCTCTCTCAGCCTCTGACAGGGGCCAGTTCGCCACCGCAGCAAAGCCGCGTAGCTTATACAGGATCCTGAGGGGGGGTTGCCGTACCACACACAAACACACACATTGATATAATCGCTGCGTTCGCTGATTGGGTGTTTAACGAACCTCAAGTAAAACACGCACCTACACGTTATAGAGGCATTGATGGCTTACCTCGTGCGTTATTCGTTGGTAGTTAGTTATTTAGTTCATGTAATCGAAACCACGAACAAATTCATCTGGCGTCTTCTGCATGTTTGACCTTCGCTACCATTCCAATCAACACATATCCGCAACATAACCCCCCCTACTATCAACCGTCAACCACCAACCGCCTGTAGCCGTTGAAACGTGCCATTCAGAACATAACCACCACGAGACAACTGTGTCACTTGTCATTACACACCAATGAACAGAGTGGACCACCAACAAACAAGCAAACAAACAAACCAGGTACGGGACTTCCCAAGTTACCTAAGCCGTCCTAACAAACGCCACGAAAGCTAGCTAGCACTCTCCGTGTCGTTAACAATAAAAAGCTGAAGCGGGGCACGGGGGAAAGAGAGGGAATGCAACAAACGCTGGTGTAGCTTAACCACCCTGTAACAACATCAACAAACGATGGTGGGTCCAACTCACATCCCGCAACACCGCCGATGAGAAATGAAAGGATGAGGAAATCCCACCCAGGGCTGGTCACTGGCTGAACTCTGGTACGGATGTACGGATGAACCTTACCTGTCAGCATCTTTCGCGGCGACCCGTGGGTCATCCACATAATTGGAGTAGTACTTGCGCTGCACACCGTCCTCCGTGTGGCCAACTTGCGCCCGCCATTTATTGCCGATCCGGACAATGTACCTGAGGTGTGCGGTCGGTCGTACGGTCGAATGTATGGACAATTGTACGGCAAACGTACGAGCAATCGTACGGGCAAGCGGACACATGCATGGTGCTGCGACGTGTGGTGACAGTGTAGGTGTAGGTGTAGGTGTAGGTGTAGGTGTAGGTGTAGGTGTAGGTGTAGGTGTAGGTGTAGGTGTAGGTGTAGGTGTAGGTGTAGGTGTAGGCAGTGATTTTTTTCATTTAGGGCGGGTCTCAATTTATTCCAACCTAAGTAACAAAGTTGCTAGGGTCGCCGTAATGTATTCCTTAAGTGTGGGGCGCNGGGGGGGNCTCCGCCCCCCCCAGACCCCCCCCGATAAGTTACTACTCCCCTCATAGACCAAGAGGCACGCACTGAGTTGGCGCGTTTTCGTTCATGTGCGCACTCTTCATGCACATGCATAGATAGTTCTGGCACTGTTTGTGAGCAATAAGTAAATCCGACCAAGCAAAGGCCCAAAACAAGCAACCGCAAATCACAGAGGCCGTCACCCGCCACTGCAAACCACAACACACTAGGACTCTACCGGTCATACATTCTGCTATACCGCGTTGACTCACGGGCTTGACCTTCTTACGGCCCCTCATATCTATTCTATGATTCAAAATACTAGGTTCTGCACACTACGGAGCAATCTGGCAGCAATGGACGTTTTTGGCTGGAGGAATGAAAATGTACGGGTCGGCCCAAAATGCCTGTTTATTCCTTCTAAGGAATACATTACTTAAAAAAACCGCTGCGGTGTAGGTGTAAGTGTAGGTGTTGGTGTTGGTGTAGGTGTAGGTGTAGGTGTTGGTGTTGGTGTTGGTGTAGGTGCCTTGCTCGAATATTGGTTGTGGCAAGCTAGCGTGGCGATGAGTGAATGGCGACCTAGTGTGTATGTGGGTGGGCACCTCCAGAGACCCCCCCTCACCTCTTCTGCCTTTGCCACTTACCTGAAGGGCGGCCGCTCGTGTGAAGCCGCCGCCGCCGCCGCCGCCGCCGCCGCCGAAGCTGCCGCTGCTACCGCTGTTGCTGTTGCTGCTGGTGTCGTTGCAGACAAATGTATGGCCTCAGTGGCTTCCGCTGCTGCTACTGATGCTAGTGCTGGAGTTGCCGCCGCTGCTGCCTCCGTTGCTGCGGCTGCAGTACATGCCGCCAGCGATGGCAGCTCATTTACGGGGCCCCACCTGGCCACCTGACCCTTAGGCCGGGGCTTTGCGGCTTCTCCTTGCGGCTCCTCCGTGTTATGCGGTGTATGCAGCTGGTGGCACCACCGGTGATCTGGCAGCGATTGCGGTTGCTGCTGCTGCGGCGGCGGCGGCTGCGGCGGTGGCGGCGGCGGCTGCGGCGGTGGCGGCGGTGGCTGACCGTGAGCAGGCCGCGACTGTCGGGGGCCGTGCTGTCGTACCATGCTCCCCGGCAGTTTTGGAGCAGCTGCTCCACCACAGCTATTCGGGACCACCAGCCGCCGCTCGCCCACAGCCGGGACCGAGGCTAATTCCATAGGGCCCTGATGCTGTTGGTGCTGCTGTTGCGGCGGTTGCAGCGGCCGTGGCAGCGGACAGGGAACCGAAGGATGGAGGACGCCGTCGCTGCTGCGGCTGCTACTGATGCCAGCAGCGACGCCAGCCACGGCGGCCCCACTGAACTTATTTCCGGCGCCTGCGCACTGGAGAGAAACCCAGGCGGGGTTTCTTAGGGCGGCTCCCGCAGGCAGAGCTCCGTCCCCTCCGCCGCCTTCCTCGCCGCGCTCTTCATCACTCGCCGACCGAATGCCGCTCGCGTCGCTGCCACTCGCGATGCTGCTCCCAGCCAGCGACGCAACCTTCCGCTTACGTTGTGTCAGATTGCCGCCCGGGTGCCGGCCGCCGGCCTCACCGGGGGCCTCCCCACCAAGTGCAGCAGCAACTGAGCAGCCATATCTATGAGCGCTGCCGCTGCCGGCAGAGAGCACCCGCCCGCTGCCGTTGACAGCCTCTTCGTAACGGCCTGCAGCAACAACAGCCGGCTCGGATCCGTTGGGCTGCAAACCGCCGGAAGCTTCTAGAAAATTCATCGGGTGCTCACAGCCCTCGTTAGCCCTGCCCTGTGGGCGGTACTGCTGTTGTGGCGGCGGCTGCTGCTCCTGCTGCTGTGGCTGCTGCTGCAGCGGCGGCAGCGGCGGCTGATGCAACGTTTCGTGTTGCTGCAACAACCGTTGGTGCTTTTGTGCGTGTGGCTGCTGCTGCTGATGCCGCTGCGCCCTGGTCCTGACTGATTGCTTCCTCCTACCGCTGTTGCTCTCGGCCTGGTTGCTGTTGTGCACCGGGTGCGGCAGCTGTTGCTGATGCAGCCGCTGTAGCTGCGTTTGCAGCTGTGCTTGCAGCTCCGGAACTATTGACTTGGGCGGGCGCCGGACACACCGTTCGGGGCCGGCAGGCGACCGCCGGGACGAGAAACCCGGGGCGAGTTCATTCGGGGCGTCGCGGGGTGCCCCGTCGCCAGGGTTGAGTCCCCTGCTGTCTGGAAGTCCCTCCTCCTCCCCAGCATCCTCACCGTCCCTGGAGCAGCGAGGCCCAGCAGGAACGTAGCTCCGCCGGGGTCCAACAAAGGTGCCGTCACAGCCGCCGCCGCCGCCGCCGCCGCCACCGCCACCGCCGCCACCGCTGCCGCCGCCGCCACCGCGGGTACCAAGTAAAACTGGATTGTACGGAACCACCATCATGGCGGATTCCACGGATCGTTCCGCCGCTGGGTCTCGCTGCTGCCGTACTTGCTGTCCTTGGTGTTGCTGTAGTCGTTGCTCTTGTTGCTGTTCCTGACGGCCTCTTGATTGAAGCTGCTGCTGGTGCTGCTGCTGGTGCTGGTGCTGCTGGTGCTGCTGCTGGTGCTCCCGCAGTTGGTGCTGGTGTTGTTGGTTAAAGACTTGAGGGTGCAGCGCCATGAACGGCGCCACAAAGGGCATTTGGAGCCAAGGGTCAATACCAAGGGCGAAGACCGGGGCTGCAACGTCCAACACGGGCTGGCCGCTAGGAACCCTCTCAGAGAGAGCGCCCCCGCCGCCGCTTGGGAAGCTGACTGCCGCTTGTGGTGGTAGAGGCGCGAGGGAGCTGGGCGCCATCATCACCGAGTAGCCCGGTGCTGGGACAGCAGTTCGGTCAGAACACCATGTAAGGTGAGGTGGAGCGGCAGTAGCTTGCTGTGCTGCCATGGCGGCTGCTGCTGCTGCTGCTGCCGCGGCTCCTGCTGCAGCTGCAGCTGCCATTTGAAAGGCCATTGGCGGTGGGATGGCCAAGGGCATGGGCATGGGCATCGGCATGGGAAAGCTGAAAGGGATTGGGAAGGGTAAGGGCAATCCGGGTGCTGGAAGTGGAATGGCGGGCGGCGGGTTTCCGACAGCGGCAGAGGTGATGCCAGCAGCAGCGGTAGCCACGGTAGCAGCAGCTGTAGCCGCAGTAGCAGCAACAGCCGCAGTAGTAGCAGTAGCAGCAGTAGCAGCAACGGTCGCCTCTCGATGCCCACCAGGATCATTCGCTTCTGCACAATCAATGGCATTTAAACCTGTACGTCAATTATACATTGTTGGTCATTCGTTATAACGGTTAAAGCAGGTTCTGTTGTCGGTTAGTAGTTGTATCCGAGTTTGTGTAGCCAGGGGGATGACGGTTTCCGGTCAACAGAAAGGAAGCATCGAGGCAGGCGAGTGGCAGAGGTTAAGGCCTGGCTTCTGCTCCCGGCGCGTCCGGATTCAATTCCGCCTGCCGACCTCTCGGGGTGTTTGAGAGGTGATGAAATGGGAGGTGGCCCCCCATCTTGTGGACGGTGTAGGACGTGATAAAATCAACTTGCGAGCTGACCAGGAACTAAGTTGACGCGCCGTTGATCCGCTAGATTTGGTTGGATGCCGGTGGTGAGTTGCCAAACTCAAAGTGTACATTCTGAAGCCGGATGGGGTGAATGGATTAGGGTGCCCCTCTAGCAGGGGAGAGCAGGGAACTGCCTCGGGAAGGAGGCCACTGGTGAAGCTTAACCACCCTGTAACAACATCAACAGAAAGGAAGCATCGATGTGCAGATGTCGGGATATGTGCACAACGAACGAGGGGGAAAAGAAGGCAAGGAGCAGGCTGTCAGCTTATGGCTTAGAGCCGCAACCAGTGAGATGACAGAAAATGACCACAGGGCTGCTGAGAGGCTTTCATCCGCCAAGAAAAGCGCGGCTGGCAACGGTCGTCACCTCCTGACAGGATGCAAGGCGCTACATAGGGAAACCGCCTCCCGTGGCTGTGCGGCCCCTGGGGAACAGTGCGCCTACTGCACTACCAACAGGAGGAGGAGTAGCAGCAGCAATAACAACAACTACTACTACTGCTACTAATGCTGTCACTACTGCTACTAATGCTACTACTACTAGTAGAACTACTGCTACTGCTACTACTGCTACTGCTACTACTGCTACTGCTACTACTGCTACTACTGCTACTACTATTACTACTACTGCTGCTACTACTATTACTGCTACTGCTACCAGTGTTTATTCTAAGTAATAATTCCTTATAAGGAATAAAGAGGCCATTTTGGCCTTTGGAAAAAGGGAATGAATTGAGGCCGATCCGTACATTTTCATTCCTCCAGCCAAAAACGTCCATTGCTGCCAGATTGCTCCGTAGTGTGCAGAACTTAGTATTATCGATCATAGAATAGATATGAGGGGCCGTAAGAAGGTCAAGCCCGTGAGTCAACGCGGCATAGCAGAATGTATGACCGGTCCTTACATAGCCAAACACGCAAAAGGCAACGACTTGAACGCCGAACAAACACCTAGTGTGCTGTGGTTTGCAGTGGCGGGTGACGGCCTTTGATTTGCTATGCGGTTGCTTGCTTTGGGCCTTTGCTTGGTCGGATTTACTTATTGCTCACAAACAGTGCCAGAACTATCTATGCATGTGCATGAAGAGTGCGCACATGAACGAAAACGCGCCAACTCAGTGCGTGCCTCTTGGTCTATGAGGGGAGTTGTAACTTATCGGGGGGATCTGGAGGGGGCGGAGCCCCCCCCCCAGCGCCTCACACTTAAGGAATAAATTACGACGACCCTAGCAACCTTGTTACTTAGGTTGGAATAAATTGAGACCCGCCCTAAATGAAAAAAATCACTGACTGCTACTACTGCTACTACTGCTACTACTGCTACTACTGCTACTACTGCTACTACTGCTACTATACTGCTACTACGGCTACTACGGCTACTACGGCTACTACGGCTACTACTGCTACTACTGCTACTACTGCTACTACTGCTACTACTGCTACTACTGCTACTACTGCTACTACTGCTACTACTGCTACTACTGCTACTGCTGCTACTACTACCGCTACTACTACCGCTACTACTACCGCTACTACTACCGCTACTACTACCGCTACTACTACTGCTACTACTACCGCACTACTACCGCACTACTACTAACGCTACTACTAACGCTACTACTACTGCTACTACTGCTACTACTGCTACTACTACTACTACTACTACTACTACTACTACTGCTACTACTACTACTACTACTACTACTACTACTACTACTACTGCTACTACTACTACTACTACTACTGCTACTTCTGCTGCTACTGCTGCTGGCTCATGCAGGCTTACCTGCTTGCTTCGCGTTTTCAGCACAGCCGCGCTCCAAGGCTGCGGCTTTGCTGCTGCTGCCGCGACCGCCATCACAGGCTCTGGCGACGGTCGCATTCTCCTCGGTCTCGGTCCCGTACCGACTACCCGCCTCCCTGTCAGGTTCGCCACTGCCGCCGCCGCTGCAGCCCCCGCCGTCGCCGCCGCAGCCGCCGTCGCCGCCATCACCACCGTCTGCTGCACAAGTGCTGCCAGCTGCACCGCTGACGTCACTCGAGCAGAGTGCGTCTGGCGTAACCCAGTATGGCTCGCAGTGGATGTGGTCTGCGGCGCCGACGGCTGTAGCGGTGACGGCAGCAGCCGCCGCGGCGCCGGCAGGACCGCCGCCGGCGGCGCTCCAGCCGTCTCTCCCGCCGCGGACCGCCGCAGCACCTTCACCTCTTCCTCCACATGCGGTGTCGTTACGGAAACGAAGGTATGTACCAAGCGTTAGTTGCTCGTCCAGCATCCCGCAGCATCCGTCACCTTCTCCACCACCGTCAGGTCCGCTGGGGGAAGCCACCGCGGCCATTACAGCAGCAGCCGTACCCACTGTCGTACCTACTGTCGAGCCCACTGCCGCTGCCGCTGGGGCATCTCTGGATCCCAACGGTCCTGGGAAATCATCTGCTGCTGCCGTTGCTGCCGCCCCTGCTACTGCTGCCCTCCCCGCTGCAGCTGTCACTGTAGGTCTCATACGAGCCGCGCTGATCGCCCCAGCACCAACACCAACACCAGCAGTAGCGGTAGCAGTAGCAGTAGCACCAGCGGCAGCGGCGCCCGCACCCACATCGGCACTGCCGTACGTGGCATAGCTCGAGTCGCCGCTGCGGCTTCCGCTTCCGCCACCAACCACACCGTCGCCGCTGCCGCCGCCAGTGCCGCCGCTGGTAGACGGCGCGCCCGCTGCCCCGCCGGCCTCTCCGCCGCTGGCCGTAGCGTCGTGGCTCCCGCGGGCCTCCCGAGCGGGATCCAGGGCTCGCCCTCCGCCTAGCTGCCAACGAGGCTCCCCGCCCTCCTTCTTCACATACTCCCCAGGGTTCGGCATTGCAGCGGCAGCGGCAGTAGCAGCAGTAGCAGCAGTAGCAGTACCTGAGATTATTGTCGCGTCCTGCAGCTCCCGGCCGGGACAGTAGCCTCCACACTGGGCGAGGGGCATTCGCGCCGGCGCCGGTAATACCGGCTGCGAAGGCTCCGGCTGCGGAGGCGGTACCACCAGACGCGGTGGTGGAGGTGGCGGAGGTGGCGGTCGTGGCAGTGGTGGCGGCGGTGGGTGGTGTTGGTGCGACAGCAATCTCTGGCGGCGAAGTAGGGACCCTCGGGTTGAGGGGTCGCTGGTGTCGCGGGATAGATTCATGAGCGCTGTAGCCGCAAGTAGGGCCGCGTCCTGGGCGGGGTGTAGCTGCTGTAGCAGCTCCTGCGGACCAAAAAAGAAATATCAATTTAATCGACTTTAAAATGATGAATAAATGTTTTTTTTGTAAAATCATCTTCCGCTTCACACAAAAGGAAACCTACAGAGTGAAGAAACGGAACCAAAAAGGACAACATGGGAGGGGGATTGCAGGAGGCGGGTGGCAAAGCAAAGCTGATCATCCCTAAAGAACACCCGAGGTACGGGAGCTCATTCACGTGATCGTGCATAGCAGGTGCGCAAGGACATCAACCAAAGCGTGGGGTGGGTGGGTGGATGGGCGGGTGGGAGGATAGGAAGGGGCCGGATGGGGGCGAGTTGCGGGAGGTGTTGAGACCTGTCTATCGCTTCTGAGATGCGGCGGCGCCACGTCATGTCATGGCACATGTTGGTCCAAGCGTGGAGAAAGCGATGGTGGAGATGGACATGTACATGTAGGCTGTCACGTGCCGTACAGTACGGCGTGATTGCGACTGGAGAAGGTGTGTATTTTTAAAGCAAAGCAAAACCAGCAGCCAGCCACAAACTAGTTTCGCTTCGTCACGCCCCCGCACCAGCCGAGCACCTGTAGCGATAAGGCGTCAAGGCTCCTGCGCTCGGACTCCGACAGCGGAAAGTTGAGCGGAAAGTGGGGACCTCGGAGCTTGTACAGCAGTCTGTACGACAACAAGCAAATCCCGGCACGCACCCAGGGAGGGCGGGGGAAGGGCGGGGTAAAGGGCGGGGGATCCTACTACCAGTGAAATGTACCGCAGGTGCACCCACCCGCGGCGGGAGGAGGTAGAGGGAGGAGGTAGAGGGAGGAGGGGGCGGTTCCGGAAGCGGCGAAGGGAGATGGGGGGTTGTTGTGTGTTGCGAGGCAGAAGAGGCCATGTGGAAGAGCCCGGGTTGGAGGACGGGTTGGAAGTGCATGTATAGAGGTAGAGGGGATAGGACGGGTTGGAAGTGCATGTATAGAAGTAGAGGGGATAGGACGGGTTGGAAGTGCATGTATAGAGGTAGAGGGGGTAGGACGGGTTGGAAGTGCATGTATAGAGGTAGAGGGGATAGGACGGGTTGGAAGTGCATGTATAGAGGTAGAGGGGATAGGACGGGTTGGAAGTGCATGTATAGAGGTAGAGGGGGTAGGACGGGTTGGAAGTGCATGTATAGAGGTAGAGGGGATAGGACGGGTTGGAAGTGCATGTATAGAGGTAGAGGGGATAGGACGGGTTGGAAGTGCATGTATAGAGGTAGAGGGGGTAGGACGGGTTGGACGGAGCGGTCGGGGGGCCTGCCTGCTACGGCATCAAAAAGTGTCCCTAAACGGGCCGATCGTGGCGATGTTATAAAAGCCCACATGCAGGGCAGTCAGTGGACATTTGGTCCATGCATGCGGTCCATGGAACGGTCGGCAGCGGCGGTTCGTTGGGCGTCAGCCGCCCCGCCCGACAATGAGAGCGTCACAGGCGCCGTCGTGTGCCCATCCAGCAGTACGTGATATGCCGAAATTCAACCCGTGCTGTCCTGCCGTCCAACCGCCCTGCCGTCCAACCGCCCTGCCGTCCAACCGCCCTGCCGTCCAACCGCCCTGCCGACCTCATACCTTACACGAGGCCAGCAGCCTGGAGGGCGCCTGGCCATAATGGTTATCGACTTGGACACACACCCACAGGGATAACATCCACCAGATGCCCCAGCTCGCTCGTCAATCAGCCCCCCCTGGACCCCCTCGCTCGTCCTGCACCTTGTCCTGCTGTACATCAACAATCCAGCACACAATCCGAACCACACCCGCAAACCTACCTCCTCCCCTAGGGGTCCCAAAGCTACACCCCCTGAACAGAAGTTATGAATGTGGATGTGGATGTGGATGTGGATGTTGCGGTTTTCCTCGGCAACACGCATATACATACACATTTATAGGCAGGCGGCTGGCAGAGGTTAAGGCCTGACTTCTGCTCCCAGTCGACCCAGTCGACCCGGGTTCAAATCCGCCTGCCGGCTCCTCGGGTGTTTGAGGAGTGATGTAATGGGAGGTGGCCCCCCATCATATGGACGGTGTAGGACGTGATAATATCAACTTGCGAGCTGACCAGGAACTAAGTTGATGCGCCGTTGATCCGCTAGATTTGGTTGGATGCTGGTGGTGAGTTGCCGAACCCAACGAATACATTCTGAAGTCGGATGGGGTGACGGATTAGGGTGCCCCTCTAGCAGGGGAGAGCAGGGACTGCCCCGGGAAAGGGGGCCGCTGGCGAAGTTAACCACCCTGTAACAACATACATACACACATCCTCGCCCCCAGCCGCAGCAGCTGGTGGTCGCATTGGTCGCATGGAACGGACCTGTCAGCGTCTCGGGCTGCCTGGGCGGCGCTGCGTACATAGCCCGAGTAGTACTTGCGCTGCACACCGCTCTCTTGGTGCCCGACCTGGGCTCGCCATTTGTCGCCCACCTGGGGCGGGGGACCGGAGAGGGAAGAGGATGTTGAGGTTGCCTGGGTCAGGGAGGAGAGGAGCCCCGTGTAAACTAACTAACTAATTAACTAAATAACTGACTAACTGGGCCAGGCGGGCAGATGACGGAGGTGTGTTGCGCACTGAGGACTGAGAGAGCGTTACAGGCTGGATGTCGACAACTGATCGGCTGTGCCGGCGTCGTGGAAACATTGCGTTTGTCAAGTGCTGCCCTACACTGCCCTACACATTCACCAGCCATCCACAGCCACAAACACTCCTCATGCGTGCGCGTACCTGTACGATGTACTTGAATGGTCCCTCGGAAGCCTCTCCGCGCCGCTGGGCCCGACGGCCGCCAGTGCCTCCGCCGTCGCCGGCAACATCAGCCACATTTCCACCACAACCTTCAGCACCAGTGCTGCCACCAGCGTCATGCCGACAGCCCCCAGCAGCTGCTGGAGCTGCCCCACCTCCCGCAGACCGCCGTTTGACCGTCGTGGCCTGAGAGGCCTGCCCTCTTCGGGGGCCCTCTCCGCTGGGCTCCGGAGCCGATGGGGCTGCTGGGCCTAATGACACAGCGACAGCAGCAGGAGCAGCAGGAGCAGCAGGAGCCGATTCTATATGAGCGTGAGGGTGTGGGTGAGCTTGCTGCTGCCCCGGTTGTAGCTGGGGTTGCCGCTGCCATGGCTGCAAAGGACAGTACTGCTGAGGGCATTCTGCTGGCAGTGCGCGTTCATCCTCCTCGGACATATGGCTGTCATCACCAACGCCACGGTCCGCAGCGCCTCCGACGCAGGTGTCGCCTGCCAATGCGGCACAAGTGACGCCACCAGCCACCAGCCCCCCAGCGGCGGGTAGGACGGCAGTCGGCTGCTGTGGAAAGGGGGCAGCAGAGACGAAGTTGGCCCCAGCAGACGATAGAAGCGCCTCGCGCAACCGCAGCAACACCTCGGCCGTCGTCGTCGTCGGCGGGTTAAAGGGCACCGGCATCAGCACCTGCTCCTCCGGCTCAACACGGGCCTGGACTGGAATTTGGGATGTTGCAGCTGAGGCCGCTGGTGGGAGCAAGGTGAGGAAATGGCTGCTGGATGTTCGCTTGCCGCGGGGAACCTCGGGTGGTAGGGCCACCTGGGCCAGCAGCGGCTGCTGCTGTAGCTGTAGCTGCTGTAGCCGTGGCTGCGACTGGGTTTCTGTAGTCACCAGGACTTGTGCAGCCACCGGCACTGCTGGGAGCGGCTGCGGTTCTGAGAGCAATGGAGGGCGGGGCGGCTGCTGCTGCTGCTCCGGCTGCTGCTGCTGCTGCAGATGTTGCTGTTGCTGTTGCTGCTCCGGCTGCTGGTGCTGTTGCTGCTGTTGCTGCGACGGCGGTTGCGGCTGGTAAGGATGGAAGTACAGCCCGCCCATTAAGCCTGCTGGGGGGGGTAGCGGCAGAGCTGGCGGAGATGTGACAGAAGCGGCTGGCGGCAAGGGGCCCAGTTGGTGAGAGTCGAACACATGAGGTTCCGTAGGGGGGGGAAAGAAACCCCACTCCGTTGCCGCCCCCGAGGTTGCGGCCTTGGCCTCGTGGGCGAGACTGCTGGAGGCCATCAGGCCGCTGCTCGCGCCATTGGTGCGGCTCTGTATCCCAGCAGCCCCCAGGCCTTCGATCTCTTCGAAGCGATGCAGTGGCGACGGTGGCAGAGGTGGCGCAGGACATGGGCCTGATTCAGTGGGTCCCGCAGCTGCCGTACTGCCGTACATGTCAACTTGCGTAACTCGGCAGTCGCGATGCACGTGGGAACCACTGTCGACAAACTGCTGGCCGACTGGCGCAAGTGGTCGACCGGCTGCTAATCGGTCAATGACGACCCCGGTATCACCACCATTCGCTGCAGCTGCTACTGTGGCAGCGGCGGTTGCTACGGCTCCGGCTGCAGCCTCAGCCTCAGTAGTGCTGGCGACCAAAGCCTTCGGCAGTACCTCTGCTCTGCTATTTAGCGCCCTTAGCCCCGGCCCCGCCCCCTTGCCGAGACCGATGTCCTCCTCTACGACAACAGCCGCTGCTCCATCAGCCGCTGCGGACAGGGCCCCTTCTACTGCACCGCCCGACGCCTGCACTGCGGCCCGCATCCCCATCCCCACTGTGCTTTTCCCACTGCCGGATAGCCGACCTGATTCACTGCGCCCAGTAGCAGCAGAAGCAGCAGTCGCATTAGCAGCAGTAGCAGTAGCGGCAGCAGCAGCAGCAGAAGCTTCTGGTGCGGCTTCAGCAGCAGCTGTGGTTTGTGTTTGCTCGCTCAGCGGCTCTGAGGGCTCCAGCGCTGCTGCGCCATTCGCCAGCTGCACCGTTCCGCCGTCGGGCACCGGGGCTGCTGAGGAGGCTGCCGCTTCCGCAGCACAGGGTGCAACAGCTTTCAATGCGGCGGCAGTTTGGCAGGCTGACAACAATGGTCGCAGCGGTTTCGGTGTCTCAAAATTTGGCAATGGCGTAAAGGAAATCGTGTGGCGCTGCGTAGTGGGGAGCGCGCCTTTGGTACATGACGCTGCAGGTTTTGCTGCTTCTGTTGCTGGCGCTGCTGTCTTCTTCTCGTCCCCCAGTTCGCCGCCGACGAGGGGCGATCTGCTTGTAGAACTTTTCATCTGCCGAAGCTCGACACGCAGAAGTTCAACAGACGTAGCTCGTGAGGAGATCGGTACATCGGCGCGAGTAATTTGTGATGGGACAGCGGTCGTCACTTGGGTACCAGATCCAGGCACTTCCTCCGAGGTGGGAAGCTCGCGCCCGATAGCACTTTGCTCGGCAGGAGGAGACGAGTTGGGCTGCAGTGTCGGTGAACTGGACGTAACGACAGTCACTTCTGAGATAGGAGAATAAGGAACGAGCGTATGCTTCGGGCCTGCGGGCTCAAGCGCGGCATGCGATGTGTCCCGCTCCCACATCGCCCGCGCTCCCCTTGCAGCTTCAGTTTAGACCCTGTCAGCATCTGGCGCGCGCATGAGAAACTGCCTCATTAGCTGTGATGACTTTTTTGGTGTGCGATTTATGCGGACTTGTCCTAGGAATGCCCCTCGTCCGTCGCGGAATGCTATGGCGAGTCGTTGCAAAGATCAATGTATCGAAAATACAGATCGTGCCTATAATGTACACATGTATCGATCCAAGAACTAAAAAATGCGTTTGCGCTGCACTTAAGCTTGCATCCTTGCACACGCCAAACGGCCGAGACAACTTGGTCAGGAGGACTTTATCGGCAACCGGGAGAATCAAACAGCGTATACCGACAATACCGTTGCTAAGAACTCCCAGTCTGGCAGAGGCACAAAACGCAAGATCTTGATACGATGACAGTTATTCGCCGTACGTTTCGGCCCTTCCATGACCAACTTTGAATCTATCGCAGTAATACTCAAGGTTCTGGGGTAATAGATGTTTACTTGTGCAAGATTTCCTGGCTTGAGACCGGCTGCCTCAAAAAAGTATGTCTTGCCTGGATTCGACATGCTGCCTCCCTGCACTCGTACTATACAAATAAGACACTAATATATCCAAATATTTAAAGTCTCTGACATGGCTGTTACGATGTGCCACTTATATGGTCAACTTGACGACCCAACGACCCAACCGACAGTTGGCTACCCAGTCGATTCCCACACACACCACACCACCTTATCGGCACACCACCTTATCGGCCCTCCGCGTGGTTTCATGATTCGCAATGGCAGCCATTTCGCTTCGAGTATGCTTATCAATTTTAGCATAGCAAGCCCGATACAGACAGGCACTGCAGTGCTACAAGATCAGGCAAGAGTGGGCAAGCAAACAAGCAACTCGGCATGTTGCCCCTGACCGCCTGATCTTGCAGCGCCACCCTCTCAAATACACCCACAGCAGAAGGTGAATAGCTGGGCCCAGGATATCGCATGGGTGTATCTGTACTTCAAGAAGGTTTGATTTCGCTTCTATGTTCTATGGACGCACTTGCCTCCGTCGGCGGGTACGTGTAGCTGTTTTCTTCTGTTCCGAAAAAGTGCCCTCTGAACGTATTCCACTGACATTCGGACTACTAGTAAACGCAACAGCTATCCGCACGAGGTCAGCGCGGTCAAATGATTGCCCCGTTAGCTCTCATCGCGCGGAAGTTTTTAAGCAGAAAACAAATTGCTTATACGCGGTCTTTTTCCAGGCCAAATGGGGAGTGGGCTCTAAACGGCGCAATGCCGGGCGACTGCGGTTCATGAGAATTGTACGGAAACACTCGTATCTGTGTAACGCCGCCCGTGTGTCCTACAGCGTCTAGGTAAAATTCAAAAAACGGCGCCAACGCATTCTGCATATCCGCGGGTCCGGATTGATTTGTGCGCGTGTGCGTATGAATGGGCGAAGGCAGAGGCGATGTTTTTTTTGCAATGACTTACAATCGGCAAGAATCATTTACAATCAGCAAGTTGAGAAGCTGCGACAACCGCAACACCGACACAATTCTCCCTCTCTCGCTGCGCCGCCGCCACGTACACACACATACACACAAAATGCATTCATGGGATTCTGACATACACACACACACACACATACACACATACACTCTCTCCACTTGCTGTTAAAGCCAAACCGCCCTCACATTTTGAAATGCATCCCAGGCGCTGACGTGGATCTTCATCTGACACACCATATCAACATACTGCTCGAGGTGGCATATGGGGTTGATATGATGACACCTTTCCTTTCTGAATGGGTTCGGGTACTTCGGGTTCAATGTAACTCAAAACACCACCGAGGCACTTGCTGCTGCAGCATCAACGCCTAAACGAACACCAAACCCAGTTGAATTATTGTAAGCCTACAATTCGCCCCCGAGTTGTCGTACATATCGTACAGTATTCACAGGAGAATCCCCTCTCCTTTCCAAAGGTCAAAGCCATCCCAAGAAAATCGAGTTGCGAGTTCCTGGGCACATAAAGTTGTGCGTGTGGTACATGCGAAACGTGCAAATAGCTTTAGAAAACGCTCAGGCGGTCCCGGGAGTATTTAATTGTAGGGGTCGCAGAGCATCCTCCATTTTGAGCGTGTGTAACCTGTGCGTGAAGCCATCACCAGAACCATTACCAGAAACAGCAAACAGGTTTGGAGCGGGGCGGAACAGAGCTGGGTCTTCAAGGGCACGGAAAAGTAAAATGAGACGAGTCGACCAAGAAAGAGCGCACCGCATGCCAAACGCGCATTACCGGCCATTACTTATCCATATTCGTCAATTCCATCCATGCTTCTTCTTTCGGAATGACGCCAGAATGATTTCAGTGAAAATGAAAAGAAAGGTCCCAATCTCATCATTCTGAAATGTTATTTTAAACCGCGATACCAAAATATTTATCGTCCCCGTCAAACGAGAGCACAAGATCAAGTCCAAACGGTCCTTCGCCCAGGATTATAATAAGGGATTTTCAGCTGTAAGAAAACACATCAGCAGATCAGAGCATGTCTTGAAAAAAGAGCGCAACCCCCGACGCCACAACACGAACTCGCGCGATCGACCAGAGCCGGTAAAACAGCAGCTAGGTAAATTTCCTCAAAAGACGCATGTACAGCGACATAAGGTCACAGGCTCCCTTCCCGCCGAGAATCCGACAAGTCCTGTGAAGCGCTTTGGATCCTAAGACCAGATTTCCTGGAGGATACACACGCCCATGCACATGGCCCGCAGCGCTGACGCGCCATGACGGGCTCGCCGGGCTCTTGCTTGGGAGGCCTTATGCGGCCCTGGATGTGCCCGTACTTCACCGCCATGTTGCCGTACGCATGATGCCGCCACGTCCTGAGGTCTACCTGTCCTACCTCGGTGTGCAATAATATATTTGTGTACGACTGTACGACAGTATTTCGCATTGCAGCGCGTGTTCATGCATGTAAACATCATGCGTGCTGTTTGTCTGTATGTCGTATGTCTGTTTTTTTGTTGGTTTGCTGTTTGCTCGTGTTGCGGCCGCACCATCGCAGGCAGCGGCAGTCGGTCAGTATAGAATTGCCAGTAGTGATCGGTGCAATGTACGACAGGCAAGTCGGCGAGGAAACGCAAGCCTGGCAACACAGCATGCGCAGTAGTGTATCGCGGTAAACTCTCTCGCCAATAACTAGCAGAGCAACCAGCACAGAACAACAACACGCTCACCGACAAGCGACTCAAAGCCGGCAGCCGACAGACCAATAAGTCATCAAAAACCTCATCCAATCGACCCCGGCAACACAGCAATCCCAAACAGAGGGCCCCCAGCCAGCAGTATCACGCTATCAAGATTTCCTTCATGTTTCCATGCATCCGTCCATCTGCCCAGTCAGTTAGGCAGTCAGTTAGGCAGTCAGTTAGGCAGTCAGTTAGGCAGTCAGTTAGGCAGTCCCTGAATCCTCACTGCTGCCCCATCTGCCCACCTGTCTGGCCCCCCCCCTTCTCGCGACATCTTCCAACGCGACCAACGCGACCAACGCGCGCGACCACAGCATTTAGGCCCTTCAAGCCCTCAGAAGAGCCCTTCAAGAAGTGGAATGTTTAACAATGGCCACCGAGTCTGCTACTGCTACTGCTACTGCTACTGCTGGCTGCCGGGCGAGGTGCAAACGCCGAGCACCTGCGCGGTATTGCCCGGTATTCTCCGCCAACTGCCTCCACCACTACTACCGCCATCAGCAATAGCAGCAGCAACAGCAGCAGTGCAGTGCAACCCAACAACAACGCCCGCACCGCCATGTGTGACCTGAACACCACCCCCACAAGACCAACACCAGCCCTTCGGGCACAGGAACAGGAACAGGAACAGGATCACAAGCTCTACCGGGACACCGAAAAACAAACTTGTAACGAGCTACGCACACACACACACACACTCACCCGTGCCTGCATGCTCGCGCCGTACCGCATCCAACTGCCATCCCCACCCTGCCGCCGCACTGCTAGCGGCGCATTGCTAGCGTGTCAAGGGCTGTGCCACCAGGGGTTGCCCGGCAGCAACCCACGAGTCGGGAGGGGCCCTACGGCTGCTGGTCCAGCCCTGGCCCTGCGCGGCCGTCATCCCGAGGCCCGTACCGGCTGATCCGCCGGGTCCGTAGTGGGCAGGAACCTCCCCTGGGGTTAGCGGAGGTGGTGGGGTTGGTGGCCCGGGGCGGGGTCGGGCAAGGTGAGCCAGGTGGTGGGACCCCAGAAACCTCCAGGGAGGGGCCCAACTCGTAATGATGTACTTGGGATTATGATTGCAGCGCAAAGCATGAAGCGAGCCGCGGGAAAGAGACCCGCGTAATGGTACGGTACATGGGCTGTGAATGTGCCGATGTGCCGAACGCGCGGATGTTTAGCAGGATTGGGCAGTGGGCGTTCAGCAGTCCTCAAGTTTTGGACTCGGCTGCGACAAAGCACGCTGTTGAATGCTTGAGAGGTAACCTGGCTTCTAATGACACGGGCAGACAGGCAGACAGACAGACAGACAGACAGACGGACAGACAGACGGACAGACACTCACAGTTGGCGTCTGTTGGTTGTAGCGACCCCCCCGGTCCATGAGAAGGCTGAAGGCCTCGTGGCCCTCTTCACCCCTGCAGCGAGGCAAGGCAGATTGTTGGGTGACATCAAATAACAACAACATCGACACCAAATGAAACATCGAGCGGGCAGGGAAGGGGAGGGGAGGGTAGAGGAGGTACCGTTTTTCAGATAACGGGGGCCCAGCGACATTGGGTCAGTTGAACAGAACAGCTCACCATCTCCCACGGTAACCCCCCGCCACGGGACCTTTGGAACTTGGGGAAGCTTCCTTTTCACAGCAAGGAAAAGCTTTGAAGACCAAGCGGGCACTAGCGGATTCATGCTGAAGCAAGGGGCGCCGTAAGCTAGCTACTACTAGCCACGAACCCTGTCTATAAAGGCCACAAACAGGCTAGTAGACGAATTGGCATCCCCCCCGATTATTTAGGATCCCCCTTCAGCGGCTGTCCACCTCTCTCTCGCGCGCTCTCTCAAGTCAACCCAAGTATCCATCCAGGACCTGCGATGGGGTCCGCATTTCCCGCCCGGGTAGGTAGATACATAGATAGATACAGAGATAGGTAGGTAGGTAGGTAGGTAGGTAGGTAGGTAGGTAGGTAGGTAGAAGTCATAAGTCCGTAATACGCACCGTTGAAGTGCGAGGAAGACGGGTGTCAGTCCGAAAAAGTCTGGCTGGTTTACCATTGCCTCTTGTTCTGAGGGCGTCCGTCCCTCCAGCAGGAGCCGCAACATATCCGTGCGGCCGGCACGTGCGGCTAGGTGGATAGCCGTCCTGAAGGGTGTACCGACATACGTACAGGGATCACGTTACGGCGACGCAACAGCGCTATCCGTCACGTCAGTTTACAATAATTAATGGGCTGTGCATTTGGCAAAGAGCCGTCTTTGAGTCGGCTGCCCTGACGTGAGGAACCTAGATTAGAGGAACCTGGCAGCGACAGATTGAGTGTCCCATGAGGAGGAGTACGAAAAGTACGTAGCGACATTCTTCTTTCGGATAGATAAGGTCCATGTGCTTGATTAGGAACTGTATCATGATTAAGAAGCATAATCCGGTTGGGGAAGAAGCTTAAATAGAAGCCTCGAAGCTGAAGGATGTCGCCAATGGGGTTCCTGGGTTTATGTCGGAGCTATTACCAAGATGAAGTATTGCCTGAGAAGAAAAGTTTTTACGTGCTGCAGTGTGCCAGCCTGCCAGCCATTAGCTCCCGATGGCTTTAGCTAGTTGCCCTCGCGCGTGCGCGCGCGCGCGCACAAGTTTGACCCCCGGGAAAGACGGGCGCTAGGATAGGATAGTCTCTGCAGTAGGAAGCTTCCGAAAGGGAAGGAAGAATGGCACATCACACTGAGGTCCCTGCGAATATTTCCCCTTCCCTTCGGTAGCCTTCAGCCAGGTTGGCAAGGGTCAGGAGCACTGCCCAACTGCCCAGCAGTGCTCCTCTTGCAATTCCACGAATCCCCCCTTGAATCCCCCGCCCCGCGTCCCCTCGACATCGGAAACACAATAAATACTTTGTCATCAATACATGATGCATGAGCAGATGCCCACGAATCGGCATGTTCTCACATCAAGCGTACGGCAGATCTCGGTTCCATGATGCAGAGATGGAAGCGGCAATCTCTGGTCAAATGTATACAAGTTGGAGAGACCAAAGCCTCCTCCCTTATCACGTCTCTTTCAGTAATAGACAAAGACCCTTTCTAGGGCGGTATAAATGGATTCGAGTACCTAGTCGGGCCACATCGAGGAAGAGCAAGAGCAACCTCCAGAATGTCGCCATGCGACGCATCTTATCCTTGCAGATTTGCATACCTGCCATTGCACTCGGTGGCAAGAGGGTCCACCCCATAGTCAAGCAAGCATTCAGCTGCTTCCACCTGCCCTGCCTCTGCCGCCCAGTGAAGAGCTGTGCGCTGATACTTGTCACGAATCTACATTTAGGGTATTCTACGTAGGCCGTCTGCACCAATCATTGGCTCAGCCATTTACCTGATTCCCAGCGCAGCATCGGGTTGCGACTTACGTTAATGTTGAATTCAATGGCCCGCTCAATAGTTCTTGTTATGTATCCGGCAAGGCCTCTCTCAGCAGCCTCAAAAATAGTTTTTGGAGGGTCAATGGCAGCAACCTTTTGTGCAGCCATGTCCGAGAGCTGGTTATCACAGGAAAACCAAGTGGTAATACGGCGCTAACTTTGTAAGTAAAAAGACGGTAATGAAAGCCAAAATTATCCTAATGCAGGCAACGTGTAAGCGTGCTTCAGGTACGTGAGTCAAGGGTAAAAGTGGTGGTGTTTTGTCCACGAAGAAAATGGGTTGCAGAGGCAATCGCGCTAGGAGCAACGATCCAACATGTTGTCAGCGTTACGGAGTGGCAGCCGTATTGCACTTGATGTACAGTTGAAAAATTGTCACGTTACTGTAAAAGTAGGAAACTATTATCATCGAGGCATTGTGCTATTCACGTGCAACTAAGTAATGGCCTTCCGTCCACGGGTATTCTGAGTTAATGCACCATGTACGAGAAATGCAACCTGTTGTTTGCCTCACAAAGCCAACAAGAACCAAAGTTGCAGTTAGGAACATTATGCGAGAAATCTCCATTGGCAAAGGAAACCTCGTTGCGTGGAAATGAACAAAACCTGAGTTAGAAATTTGATCGCGGCATCATTTGTCACGAAAGCGGGGTTCCATGGCACAGCTGGGCAACACAGATATGCGGTGTTAGCGGCAAACCATTTGAATGCTGAATGACTAAAAGTCATCTCAATGCATCTGAGTAGCTCTTATGCGGCCCCGAAAAACTCGGTTTCAACCCGATTACCCTTTTTGACATGCAGTACAGCTTAAACAATATAGGGTTATACTTTATCTCAAGCGTTAAAGCTTGCCACGAATCTTTGAATCGCACGCCGGAGGCGAAAAGTTCACAGCTCCTCAAAAGGTTTGCCAGAACGCACAGACTTGCACGGAGCTGCGTATGCCTTGCTGTATCGGCCTGCTGCGTTCACACTGGCCACCGGATGTTGCCTGCTGCGAGAAGCGCTAGTCCTCGCGCACTTCTGCGGAGTCAAGATGTAAGGCTGTTCAGGACGCGCTGCTGCCGGCGCTTGTTATTTGGTTTGAGTTGTTCTGCTGGGCTTTGGATTCGCCGCTCCCTAATAAGAAAGAAACCCTAGGCAGCAAACGAAAAGCAGCAACCACTCTCCTCTCGGCTTTTAGGTACACGAACGGCTCGAATGCGCTGATAAATCATGCCTGGCCGGTAAATTCCATTTCCCTTTTCAGGCCCCGAGGAATTACGTGCGCACATGCTGGGCTTGGCTTATCTCACCCCATGTCTCTTATCTCAGCAGGCGATGCGGCACCAATGACATGTACGACACTTGACATTTGCAGTACCTGTGCCAGCTCTGGAAGTTAAGGACTCCACCACCAATCCCGCACCTGAAGTTTTCGGTTGTCCCCCTCGACCCTAAGTTAAATCTTACCTTTATGAGCCCCCCTATGCCTTGATTGGGTTTTGATATAGTGCGGAGTACACGCCCCTCCCTTCCTGCAAAACGATCCCGATGTTGTCGTATGCACCGTACGCACAAGCTCTACTCTTACCTTTTTGCCTGACTGCCGGTTAGCACGTCGGCGTGTTCACCTGTCTGTATGTCCGTGAGCTCCAGCATACACTGTAAGGACACGCTCGTGATGCCAAACCACACCACCACCACTAACACCACCACCACCAGCAGTGGACGCGTCGATAGTTGTTTTTTCGTCAGATGCGCCAACCATACCCCGAACCGATTCTACCGATCCGACTCTAAGACCGAGGACATCGGCGGTTGTTAAGAGGACTGCTCCAAGAAACGTTTACCGCCAATTAAATCCCCACAGTGGTCGCTGTACGACATCCTGTACGACATCCTGTACGACATCCTAACATCCCTAATGGCTGTAAAACCATGAGCCCCTAATGCGTCCCTAGCCTTTCAGAGTCAGCAGTCATCCCCTAGCCATACAGAAGGCTGCTCTGTATAGGTCAGTCGCTTCCGTTACCTCTTCCATTCCGTCATCGCGGCGGCATCCTGGTAAACCGGATGGGGCGGGAAGGGTCTTCCCGTAAGAAGGTCAGCAGGTTCCTGGCGAGGGTTGTGTTTGTCTGGCGGGGGGGGGAAACGGGGGGGGGGGGAGCGGGGGGGAAAGAGAGAGGGGAGTGAACGTTCTGTACGCCCGTATGTACGTAAACCGCTAACTGTATTTACGTAGCCGGACCGAGTACGTAGCATTTTACGTCATTATACGTTTCAGGAATCTACCCGCCTACCAGAATGCAGTCAGGGTGGCGACTTTGTGTCGCATCAACATCACCCTTTGCGGGGGCTGATTAACACCAATCTGTAGTTTGGAACCGTGGCAACCACGTCCGTCCTTCTTCCTTCCTTCATTAATTCATTCGCACAAAGCCTCCCATTCTCACCTTTTGGTTGAACATATCCTCCATGCAGATTCGATATGCATGTTCGGGATAGTTTTGAGCATACTCGTTGTAGAGCTCATGTGTTCGTTCTAAGTCCCTGATCGCGCGGACTTTCTGGCCACCGGTGAGCGACTCAAACATCTCGGGGTTAGCGTCCGCTGAGTGCAATTTCCGGGTAAGCAGCAGTACCTGTGTGTGGCAAGTTGGAGTTTGGTGTGTGTGGTGTGTGTGTGGTGTGTGTGTGTGTGTGGGGGGGTGCGGTGTGTGTGGGGTGTGCGGTGTGTGGTGTGTGTGTGTGTGTGTGTGTGTGTGGTGTGTGTGTGTGTGGTGTGCGTGTGTCGGGGGGGGGGGGTTGGGGGTGTGCGGTTCGACGACGTTCAGGCAACAGATCTGGCACATTGTTTGGCTCCGCGACTTTGCGACTTTGCGGAGCGCGCGCAGGTGGTCATCCTCACTTACCTTTGTGTTAAGGCAGGTCTGACGTGCGAAACTGAGGAATGCGTAAAACTGTTCCGGGCAATGCTGCGATGCGAATGATACTCCACAGATATACCTGTCCCGCGGAGTCTGGGGGTTTGGTTCGTGGCGCGGAACGTAGACATCGTGTCGATGGCAGGCAGCCACCGCTCTGAACCGCACTTACCGTATCTCCTTATAGCCACTTACAACGTCTGTGTAGTAGTGGACCGGGGAGTGAGCACCGGACAAGAGCAGGGCTTGTGCCCGGAAGGTGAGCCGAACATGACATACTCTCACCATCACCGAAATGCCCAAACAGCACCTTGTAGAACACGCGTGTCGCAAGTATGACACGGTCAATTTGAAACTCGTGGAAGAAGGGAAGCCGTCGCTTGCACGCCTGAGCTTCGTACAAGGATTTGACTGTATGGAAGGACGCCTCCCGGTGCTCATTCCAGTCGATGTACGACTGCCCGGGCGACCTTGGTATGTTTTTCATCCTCCTGACAATTGACGGGATAATGAGAAGTTTACATGTGTGAAAAGAGCTTTAGGTTGGGCCCACATGCTGGACTTTCTTTATTGGGGCTGACTAAATGTTTTGGCAAAAGCGTTCTTACTCGTATGCGTGGAATAGATTGTAGTGCGCAGCCCAATTTTCTCCACGGATTAAGAAGTGTGGTATTTGGTTCAGAGCATCCATAAGGGCAGTTGATCCCGAATGAGGAGTTGCGAAAATAAAGACACATTTGTCCGCTGCAAAGCGTGATCCTTCAGGAATTTCTTGGCGTTCATCTGCCTCGCTCACTAGGTCAAGTGGATGAGCACGGTCAAGTAGCGTTGCGTAAAAGAGGAGAACGACTAAAACGTATTGCATAATGCTATAACCAATCCAGTAATAGCACCACCTGATGTGCTTCCATATACAGAGGTTCTGCACGCGTAGAAGGATTAGAAAACAGGCTGAGGAGAGACTTTGGAAGAATGCCGTACGTCATAGCCTTTGGCTTCAGAGCGCGCGGGGCGTGTCGTTATTTATTATGCTGGAGAAACGACCGGACATGATTCAGATTACAGCGACACTGATAGACAATTGTACAAACAGATAAATCCTCCCTCATCCTCAACGGCGAGGGTTTTTTCCTCACGCCGCGACGGGACAAGGGCATTTCAAGGCCTTGGAGACGGCTGGCCGCGCGAGTAGGTTCTTGCATCGCAAACCCTACCTTCAGGAGCGCTGAATTCCTACTTGCGTGTCCAGCAAAGAACTCTCGGCTACGGAGCGAGGCACTGCAGGTCCTTGGATTCGTGCGCCCAGCTACTTCGCATGGCGCACTGTTGTCGGTGGGGCCGATTGCCTCAATCGGCGTAGGTTTGTGGGTCAGGGGAGAGTGGCCTTGGTGGCAGATGGCGCTAATAGGGCTGCCCCATGGTCGGCTAATTTGCCCTTCCGCTCTTTATTCTGTCCCCCGCTCTCGGGCCGACACATCCTGCTTAAAAGTGTCGCCTTAGAAATGGTGCGGGGCAAGGGGGTGTCTACGGTTGCTTGGTGCTGTCCAGGCCCACGGTACGGGGCTCAAGGCCCTCAAGGCCCTGGTGGTGCCTCTTCGGGTCTTTCCTGGCCTTCACAATAATTGGGTGCGGGTAGCACTGCTGGGTCGGATCCGATGTAACCTCATTTTTCATATGGCTTTCCTTGACGCCTGTATTAATGTTCAGGGATTAGTCGGAAATGATAACATATTACGCAAAGCCCTGAGCATGACTGCGAGACCCCTAGGGGTTCTTTTGCCGCTTTGCGGCTCCTTGTAAGGGCGCAATTGCTCAATTTCCTACATGGGACCTCCTCCAGGCCTTTCAACGTAAGCAAGTAAGGAAAAAGAAGGCCTTGAGGTCCGCTGGATTCCGTACGAGACCTTTGGCCTGTACTTGTTGACTCAAACGCGCGTCAAGTCCGCGTCAACAAGGCGCAAAGGGCAGCGGAAGACTCCCTGGCTCGCCGCCTATAAAAAGCCTTAGGTAGCTTAGATTTCGGCAGTTTGGGGCCACAGAAGAGAGCAGCAGCCAAGGCTTCCGCAGTTTGGTCCTTGATGCAGCCCTCAAACCTCAGGTCGAAAACAGTGTAGTAAGGGTCATACGCTGAAGGTTAGAAGATGGCGGGAACGACAACCAAGCTGCCGACTTGCAGGTGCGTTTTTCCAGCGATGCGCGGCGAGGTAAGCGGAATGCCACCTCTCCTTTCCATCTTTGCTAGGCCAGCGGTCCCATTGGTCACTGCCGCCACAAGCATCGTCGCTTGATGACAACCCAGGAATTTTGCGTATAAAATGCGTTACAATATTATTATTGAACAGCAAGGCATCTGCAAAGTCGCATGCTTATGGCTTGGGATGGCCGCAGCGTGCGAAAAAATCCGAAAAGCGCGGCGGTGCGATGCCGCGTCCTTTTCAAACGTCCAATAACTCTGTCGTTCGTGTCCATTAAATACGCGGATCATATTGCTTATATTATTCTCTCGCTAACTTACTACCAGTAGTGCTCTCCGCGCTTCGAACTGAACGGCGACTTGCACGACTGTTCGTGTTGGCAATATTTGCTCATGCACGCTGCGTGGAATGAGTATGCCCTTGCGCGGGCTGGGAATCTAGTTGCGCCCGTCTCTCCTGTCCGTGCCCCAATGCATGTGGATCAACTTCGTGAGCAGGCAAGGCTCTGTGGTGCCGTACACCATCATCGAGGGCCCGGACGCCTGGACCGCTTCCGACTTCCCCTCCCTGGAGAACCACATGCTGCACCTGGACGCCACCCACGTGGCGGAGTTGGATGGGGCCGTGGAGGCGGTGCTTGCGAGCGGCAAACGACTGCAGGTGCGTGTCGCTCTGTCTGTCTGTGCTTTACATATCGATCCGGGCCTGACGCTGGCCAGGGGCACCTAACCGTACGCTAACGGGAACGACCGCGGAAGCATGCCATCGTTGGAGGGGCGATATCTATCGGTCAGAGTCCTACCGTCCTCCCATTTCGACGCAAGGCGCCGTCACCCGTTCGAATCCTCTGGCCAGCTACATACACACCAGCTCAGATGCCAAGCTACCTCCGTTCCACCGAGCGCAAGCTCTGCAGCTTCGCGATCTACCCATGCACTCACACCGGTGCCAATCGGCACCCTATCCTTGCGAATCCTGCCGCCGCCCAGTTTCGTTAGCCAACCACCATCTGGTATACAGCCCAGTCCAGGCTCTATGCGGAATTATTCCTCCGACCCTGCTCCGCGGCGAAGTGTATAAAAATCACCATAATGTGCCCCTCTTTCATCCACCCAGCGCACTGGAGGAACCTCCTCCAGTCTTTTCAACACTCCAATCAAGTGTCTCCGGTCTTCAACACCCCGATCTGATTCACCCGGGAGATCAGGGGGGGGGATTCGAACCCACCTCCTCCGAATAAACTTGACACCGGGATCCAAACTCCGGAGCAGCGTTCGATTCCCCAACAAACCAGCTTCCCACTATGTAGGAGGCCCGCCCAGGAGTTGATCCCTGAACCTTGAAACAGATAATTACAGTAGTGTCTCTAAACCAGACCAGAGAGGCATTTGTGAAATTCCAATGATAACATTTCATTATTCTCTCCTGAGCTTTGATGCGCGTTGATGCGTTGCCTGGTTAGGATATCGCTCTGTCGGACTTCGCTCTGCCCACACTGTCCGGTCCGCTGTTCGAGGCCGGTCGGGAGGCGCAGTTCGGCCGCGGCTGGGCGCTGCTTCGCGGCGTGCCTGTCTGGCGTTACAGCCGGCAGCAGCAGCTGGCCGCGTACTGGCTGCTGGGGCTGCACTGGGGCCGAGCAGTGCCGCAGAACGCCGGGGGGCACCTAGTGGGGCACATCAAGGACGTCGGACACGACCCGGGCGACCCCATAACCCGGCTGTACAGGTCCAATGCGGCCCAACCCTGGCACAACGACGGGCCTGCCGATCTGGTTGGTAAGGGAGCGAGCGAGCGAGCGAATGAGTGAGTGAGTGAGCGGTCCAGGCAGACAGACAGACAGACGGACAGGTTGGACGGCGTCAGTTGCTTTGCGACCTTTGCTTTGCTTTTAAATGCTTAATAAAGGATAACATGCTGCAGGATGACATCCTGAGTGGTGCATTCACACTAATATTATTTTATGGATTTCGCCGCGGGTCAGGGGCACGCCAAGTCCCAACCAACTAACTGACAACCGCTGCCAACTGCGCATTGCCAACCGCTCGCAGCGCTGCTGTGCCTGTCTAATGCTGAGGAGGGCGGCGACAGCGGCTGGTCATCTTCCATTTCCGTACACAACGAGATACTGCGTCGGGTACCTCACCTGATGCCTGTGCTGACGGGTCCTTGGTTCTTCGATCGGAAGGCTGAGATACCTGAGGGTGAGGAAAGGGAATGACTGACTGACATACCGACTTGTTGTTCGGAAGCCCCCCGATGGGTTCTATTGGAAAGGGAGCTCCAGGGCGTCTTCCATTTCCAAACACAACACACACACTCTTCACACACACCCACGCACTCTCTCTCTCACACACACACACACACACACACTTCTCGTGAATGTGTGTATTCCTCTCTGGCCCCTCCTCCCCCCGTGTATTTGGCTGACAGACAAGTCAACAAATGGTCTTTTTGGAAACCAAAGGCCCCTTGCGTGACCCCCCCGTGCTGTGTGCTGTGTCCTGTCTCCTGTGCGCATTTCTCTCACCCCGTATTTCTTGCTTGCTTTGTTGCGAATTTTTGCCTCTCGTGTGCATATGCATATGTATGACGCCAGTGGCCTCTTTTTACTGCAGGCCACCCCTACCCCTACCCCTACCCCGCGCTCCGCCCTACCGTTGAAACCAGGCAAGAAGCCCTTTTTCGAGATCCCGGTGTTCAACTACCACAAGGGCTACCTGTCCGTCAACTACTCGGACAACTATTACCTCCTCAGCCAGCGCCACCCTGAGGTACCCAAGCTGCAGCCCGAGCACTACGAAGCCATGCGCCTGTTCAACGAGCTCGCCTCCGGTCCCGAGCTCAGCTTGCGCATGGTACTGAGGCCCGGAGACGTGCAGCTGCTGTCCAACCACACGTGCCTACATTACCGTGGAGCCTTCCGGGACAGCCCCACCCACACGCGGCACCTGCTGCGCCTGTGGCTGGCGCCGCCCGATGACCGCCCGCTGCCTGAGTGCTATGCGGAGATTATGGCCGGCAGCGTGGTGCCGGGGAAGCGCGGAGGGATTATCATCCAGGGGGCTAGTCCGCACATCCCGGAGGCGGCTGAGGGGGAGGGGGAGGGGGAGTAGAAGTGAGGAGGGGGGACCTGTGGAGGGCGGTGTGTAGGGCGAGGGGGAGTGTTTAGGAGGGCGAGGCGCGGATTGCGAGGCGGAGGGCGAGGCGGAAGGCAGCATGATCATCACGTTCCAACAGGACAGCTGGTGTGCTAAGAGGCTCGGTGGCAGTGTGCTTCTGGAGGGCTCCAGGATCTGTTCCGTCATCATCAAGGAGCTCTTGGACAACTTAGGGGTTTTTGCTACTTTTACAACCTACCAAAAAATTAGGTTGGATGGGATGCACGCCCATATGATGAATGATGATGGACACTGCCATATCGGCTATACCTGAGAGCCTCATCAAGATGTCTGGAGTTGGCGGTGTCGTTGATTCGGCAGGTTGGTCCACTGGCTGGTGGTGGTGGTGGTGGTGGTGGTGGTGGTGGTGGTGGTGATGTTGGGTGTTGGACCGGAAAATAGAAGGTCACATACTTTATGGTTGGGGCAAAAGTCGTCACAGATTACAAGGACGAGGGTTCCCCTAAAAGTCAGGTTGGTGTGGTGGCAAGGACTGCCGGGTTAATGGCCACGGGTGGGATGCTATATCCAACTGCTTTCACACAACTACACATACATATAATACGTACATATATATACACATACATACATACATAGCATCCCCATCGCGAACGTAGCAGAGGCGCGCCTGCATGTATGTATCTAAGTATGCATGCATGGCTACAGCGTGCTTGCATTTGATGGAGGAAGCGGCCAGCAGGCAGGCAGGCAGGTAAGTAGGCAGGTAGGTAGGCAGGTAGGTAGGTAGGGCAATCGAAATTGCTTGATGAAAGAGTAGGGGATGGCGATCTCGATGGTGGTCGCACGGTGGTGGTCCAACATGCGTGGCGGCGGCAACAATCGGCAAGTGGAACATGAAGCGAAGTTTTATACCGTATCGATTGGCAGTTAGTTAGTTGAGTTGAGTTTAATAATATGGACGATCTACGTGGATATTTTGAAGTGAGGAACGAGAGCCAGGAACGGGAAAAGGATAGGCTAATTAGGACGCAAGAGTCGCTTGTGTATTATGTCGTTATTGGCTGTTAGTCTGTCAGTTGGACAAGGTAATAATGTGCGTTAGGAGGCCTACTCAAGATCGTTGATCTGGTTTCTGGTGATGTCGTTGCTTTCATTGTTCCGTTTTTTTTCAAGCTTCCTTCGCCAGGAACCTTCCTTTCTCGACCCATCGACTACCCCTATAGAAGAGCCGCTCTTCGCCGAGCTTTACGAAAATGGATATCACGAATTTGTCACGATTCGCCCCGGAGATCCAAACACCCAACTTGTCGGGGACAAGTTTCGGATCAGCTACACAGGTTTCCTCGTTATGCCCTCCTGACATCATGTCTGACAGCCCCATAGCAAAACGCACGCGCGTAAGAAAAGGCCCTGCTAGTAACCACCTTGGCGCGGGGGTAACGCTTGGGTGCTTCTGTCTTTCGCCGTTCACGAACGGCTCTCCAGGTCCCTCCTTGCCGCCACTAACATAATATACACCACCATTACCACGACCATACCCACCCAGGCGGGTCACATACCCACCCAGGCGGGTCATAAGCCTCAAGCCACAAGACCTCGACTTTCTATTGACTTTCTAACTGCCTTACAATCTGGCAAGCGGACACGTTCGTTTTTAGAGCAGCGATTTACCACTATAAGAACATAGACATTTGGACAGCATTGGGCCCTGCCAAGAAACGATACACGTCTAGTAGTCAGCGCTACGGTCCTACGATGACCTCTACGAGCGGTGCGTCCCGCCGAGGCCCCATAGCTCCGCTAAAAAACCGGGAAGGCCGCCACTGCCGCCGGCCCCATGCTCGCCGCCCTCCCCCTCCTCCTCCTCCTCATCATCATCATCATCATAATCGTCCTCCTCTCGATCACCGGGCGCCTCCGCCCCACGTGGTGTCGATGACAGGAGGTCCAGTCCCGCGTCATCATCGTCATCCATCCATCGTGGAGTGTAAATCTGACCATGGAAGGGCGAGGAGGAGCGTGTATGTATGTATGTATGTATATATGTATGTATGGACCAACAGAAGGGGTAAGGATGTGCCTACTCCTGACCTCGGGGGGCAGTACGGGGGCCAATACGGCCGGACAGCTAGCAGCAAATAAACAATAACATGCAACATTATGCAACTTCCCCGGCAAGGAGGAAGGAAGCCGCAACGTTACCCAATGTTACCGCTCAGATCACTCGCCCAACCACCATTGTCACCAACCTGCATTGTCCAACACCATATCACCGCACTGCCGCTGGATTCTGTACCCCCGGCGCCGCCGCCGCCGCCGCCGCCGCCGCCAACCTCACAGACCCCGCCGCTAGCGGTGACGTCAGTGTTACAGCCATCCCCATCCGCCACATCGTCTTTATTCCCGTCGCCGTCGCCGTCGGCGGCGGAATCCGTGCCTTGGCCGCCCCGGTGGCGACGACGAGGCTCCTCAGCGCTGCCGTACAGGCCCAGCTCCGGCAATATCGTCGGCAGCTGGCCGCCCCCAGAAAATACCACCGTACGGCAGCTGTAGTTCCGCCAGGCCTGTAGCCGCGAGTACAGGGTGTCGTACGTGGTCGCCTCTTTGCGGAGTTCTCGAACGAGAGACCGGAGCTGATGCGGGGCTCGGGGGTCGAGGGGGGGTCCGGAGCAACGTGGGGGGATGGCAAGTGGGGAAAAAAAGAGCTTGAAAAAATACGTGAAACGCGGGCTTATGGTCAACGGGGGAGAAAGAGGAGGATTCCAAAGAGGCGGAAAAGGAGGAGAATATGTGATATTTATCTATATGTACATAGATAGATAGATAGATAGATAGATAGATAGATAGATAGATATAGACGGTTAGGAAGCCCCCCGCCTAGCCACGCCGTGCCTTCTAGGGCCGCGGCCTTCCCCCCATGACTCAACCCACCACGCCCCCACACACCTCGCCGCCGGGTCCAGCGCCCCCAACCCCCGTCCGTCCCGCACCTTGTCCCGGGCCGTGTTGACAAGCCGCTGGTCGTGAGCCAGCGACTGCTCTAAATGGTGTGCGCCTGCGTCCCAGTGCTGTGAGGATGGAGCGAGGGAGCAAGGGGGGGAAGAAGGGCCTCAAGGTCAAACATAAGGTTAAGACAGTACATACATACATACATACATACACACACGGCTTCATTTCCCCACACGATTAGGACACTCTTGTGCACGTGGGAACCCTTCATCAGTGCCTTAGCTTCAGCAGATCCGCACGCGAGACGGCCCCCCTGGAGCCCTCGCTGCGTTTCCCCTCGCTTCTTCATTTCCACTCGGGGGCCCCCCGGCCACACCTCGCCACCCGCAAAACACACCCGCAAAACACACACACGCGCACGCGCGAGCGCACCTCTAACTCCCGTCGCCAGCGGTCTAACTGCCATCTTAAGTACAGCGCCCGACACGGTGCCAGAGCCGCTGCCAGAGGCCCTCCTCCTCCTCCTCCGCTGCCGCCGCCCGCCAGGCTCGCCGTCACCTCCGCCTCCAACTGCCGCCGCCGCTCCGCCAGTCGTCTACGACACTCTCTGGAGCCTGCCGTACTGCACTCCAGCTGGCGCTCCACTGCGGCTGTGTGACGCGAGTAGTAGTCGATTGACTCCTGTGGGAGGGGGGGGGGAGAAAGGTAAACAAAAACACAATTCCATGTGCGAGCGGGCCCCCGAGCGACTGTGGCCTCAGGTGTCGTGCGCCAGTGAAGGGATGAAAAAAGGGCGGCTAGGATTCAGGAGGGAATGAAGGGGAACAGCCCCATAGAAAAGAGCTCATAAGAGGTACGGCAGGGACGAGGGTGGTGCACAGAGAGAAAGAGAGGAAAGTGAGAGAAAGAGAGAGAGAAATAAGTGTGTGTGTGGGGGGGAGAAGAAGACGCACAATACGTGCCAGTGTGTCGTACAGCCGATCTGGGTCAAAAGCTTCAGGAGCAATAGGGCCCCAAAAACACATACCTGCAGGTGCCGTACAGCCTCCGCCGCCAGCTCTGTACGTTGTTGGTAATACCGAACCAGGCTGGTGCGCCTGAAGGGCGGGCAACCAGGGGGGTGTAGAGGAGGGGGGATAAAGCCCCAGAGCCGTGAGGAGGAGGAGGAAGGGGGGGGGGAAGCAAGGTCAGGAAGAGAGGATTGGAAGGCGGGCGAGGGGGCAGCATTGGGTAAACATGGGCCAATGTTTCATCCATTGCGGCAAGAGGGGGAAGAGGCAAGAGGGGGAAGGGATGGGTTGGAAACTGAAAGAGCGTGGGTCTGAGATCATTTGGACGAGAAATGCGGTTCATCTAGTATAACCCTGGACTGTGGATGTGACCCAGATGGCGCAGATTGAAGGGACGGTATGGAGGAGGCCAAGGCACTGACGAGGGCGGCGGTTTTAAGCCTCATTTGGCCCGAAGCTGCTTACATAGTGGTGAAAGCCGGACATTCGCATGGAAGAAACGAGGGTGGGATGAAGGCTCAGATCAAAAGCGTCCCGAACAGCGCCCCTTCCGCACCGTGTCCGCTCGTCAAAGCGTTCCATCATGTAAGCGCTCGCAGCCACATGAGCGATGGCGACCAGGAAAGCTCCCGCCAAAATGGCACCCTCCCAAGCAAGCATCAGAGAGACAGCTCGGGGCAGCTCTGCGACAAGGCAGTCCCATGACGAAAGTTGATTCAATTCATCGCAGCAAGAGCAAGATGTATTGCAGGGGAATGCCATGAGCAAAAGAAAATGGACGAATTTCACGCGAGGTCATAACGATGTAGGAAGGTGCCGCAAAGAGCAAAAGGAAGATGCACCTAGGAGATTATACCGGTGAGCTTAATCCTTACCAGCAGCGACAGAATACCCCAAGATGAACGACAAGCCTGTCTCGCGTGCATTGGTTTGCGCTTAGTCAAGTTGGACTAGGGAAGTACCTGTTGCTCGTTTCCTCCGGCGTCTATATTTATCAACAATTTCCATGGCCTGTTGCTTCACATGCTGAACGACCAATGAGCCAGGATACCGTGAGCCCTCATCCATCTCGTGATGTGGTGATCGCACTGTAACTAGAGCATTAGATAGCTCCGCTATCCAGTTTACACACACAACTTAATGATAATGCAGGCACTTGCGCCTCCAGTTCCACGCATGCTTTCGCCGGATAGATTTTGAGCTTCTTTTGGAATTCCTGAGGCAAAACATTAATTAGGACTTAGAGCCAAACCACTAGAGAATAATCCTTGCCATACGCAAGCCATCCTTTCGGCCGATACCGAAATCGTACTACTTGCAGCCAAAACCAGAAGTACAACCCAAGAAAAGGCAGACAGCAGGCCGATTACAATGCAGAAATTTGTCTAACGCACTTGACAATCTATCATACTCTATGCAGGGAAAATTTGGGTGAACAGAGTATATTGCAGTAAGTTAGTCGGCTGGGTTTGGCCATGGAAGTTTGGCCAGGAGTAGCTGTGCAGCTGCGCTGAACGGCTGACTTTGCATGCACGAAGCTTTAACTTGCTGGAGGAAGGAACATTTAGTTGCCAAAACTGGCCGAAGGTATGTATCGTCTTACTGATTTAGGGAGCAAGTCCACAAAGCCGTGAAAGAGGAATTTCGCGCTATGTGTAGGGCGCGCTTTCCCCCATCGCCCTATATATAAGGCGCACTTCCCCCATGCTTTTCTTCCTCGCCTCACCACTCCTGCCTCACCAGGCCCTACGCACGTGACACCTTCAGGTGTTTCCCTCCTCCCAATGACATGGCATTCCGTTACGACGATCACTAAAACATGGCTTTACCTGACAAACGGCGAGCTTTGTTTTGTGCTCAGCAGGCTTCGCGAGCAGCAAACGCAGAAGTTGCAAAGCGGCGACGTTGCAATTTGACCAGCAGTAAACTCCTCATATCAACAACGATATTGACCCTCTTGCCTCTCAGCATCTGTTTTACTTTATAAATCGATGGGCTTTAGCGTTCAGGTTCCTGGGCTTTTCCAGCCCTTTACAGCGTAGTCACTGCATAGGTTCATCGGTAAACGTTCACTGTGCCACACAGCTATGTCGTCTACGTGGAATTTGGTGCGCATGGTTGGTGCACAAGGCCTTACTGAGGCGCAACACTTTCATTGTACGAATCTGTTTCGTACTATCGTGGTACGGGGCATATTAGGGCTTACGCCGAGGCATCCCCTGCCGGCATCGTGTCAGTCGGGGGCGACTGCCATAACGCGTATATCGCAACTTATCGACCGCCTACCCCCGCAATGGACCATAGCGGCGATAGTGGCTATTAATGACAGAAACCTTGAAATACCGCCTCCGCAAGAGGCCTGGAAAAGAATTGTCAAAAGCTTGGGATGGAGATTTGGTCAAGTGTTACTGCATTTCTCTCAAGTAACGGTTAAGTTTGCGACGACTTTATTAATGGCACCTTCTTTACGAACGCTTGATATAAAACATGAAGATTTTATTTTGGATGCTGTTGATATCGTCTTATCGCCGGAGAACTTGGCCAATACTTTGTTGGACTTCCGTCGTACTTTGTCGCGCATGTGGAGACTTCGGTGGGATAACGAGCATAAAGAAGCCCTTTGGAGGCTGGCTCTTGATGGTTTCCCTGCCTTTCCTATGCATAGGGCGCAACGTCAAAGAGGTATACAGGCTGCTATGTGCCCCTGTGGTGTACGCATGCTTTGTGGGGATCGTCGGCATCATTTCTGGGATTGTACTGTCGCGTTGGCTCTTCGTGAAGCTCTGCAAAACGAACTTCAGTTCCCTGACCTTTTCAACCGGGCTAACCTGTGGTTGGGCATTCCACCAACCTGGATTTGTGCGTGTGTATGGGAGGTTGTATGCCTTGCGGCCATCAGCTCACTCAATCTCGGTCGCCGTTTGTTGTTTAGGGAAGGTCTCCAGACCAACATGCCTATATCAACGCCATCGCTTAACCGCATTACTTACGAGGTTATCTCTGACTTTTGGGCCCGTTTAACTGCTTTTGCGGCACGGGACTACTTGCCAAAACATTGGGATCATGTACCTCACAATCACCCTTTCTTATATGTCAATGACGCAGACATGGTTGTTTGCCGTTTACCGATATACAATAACGAAGTATGAGGGCGCACGTCGGAGCCTCAATTTTCTGTTTAAGCGTACTAACTGAGGCCGTGTGTCCAGTGAAGTTAGTACGGCCTGGCCGAGTTCTTTTTGAATAAGGCCCACAGTGTTGTGCGGGAGGCGCTCCTATGGGCGCTGCACTCGACCCGTTCGGGGTCCACTGTAACAATCGCATCTTCACTGAACGAAGAGCCCGCGCTTGTTACGTGATTCCCACCACTGGCCCGGCGGGATGCTAGAAGACCGAATAAATGCTTCCGAGCGATTTGCCGTTCTGATACTATTGCTACGTCCATGGCATAGTGGGGGCATGTGTTCTTTGTGGCCAGGCGTCTCTGGCAGATACAGGCATTCCACTCAATGTATGATGGACCTTTAATATGATGATACGTTAAGGCTTTCAAACTCACTATTCCCACCGAGACGTGGTTTCGGAGGGTAAAAATCTTGGTAAGCCCCGTCGCACTCCGTTGCGTCTCAAATTTTGCGGCCTGGGTGTCCTGACACCTTTCCTAACGTTTCTCTTTTTCACAGTTGCCGCCTTACGTGCCTTGGATCTGTAACTGTCTTGGGCACCGTAGTGTGTACTATTGCATAGTCGCGATGCTCCTTGCAACAAATCGACAGACCACTATCCATCTTAGCTTTGGGCGCGCACGAGTAGTGAGCAGGGCGCCTCGTGTGCGTTTGCATGCCGTGTCGAGTAACGGACAACCAGCTGATCAGGTGCGCGAATACCGGAAAGCTTGCATGCATTCCGTCTGATCAAAAGCAGGCATTACGATGTCAACGCGATGTTAAGCTGCGCTGATGTTAACTAGGGTGTACTCAAATCTAAACGTAACCTTTCCTTTTTCTATCTCTTATACTTCTAAAAATGCTGCTAAGCATACTTATCTGTATCCACTATCTTCGCTGGTCTTGGTACAGTAAGCATCGTACCCCGTTGCGAGAAACTAAACTATCGGAGCAAACTAGCGAAACACCGTTCCTTCTCTTTATTACGGGTGAATGATTACATGCGTTTGTCTTTCCTATCGTTCCGATCCCTGCATTTCCCCTGCCGCCTTTCAGGTCCCAATAGGCTGCTCCCGATACTCTGTAGCCTTGAGAAAGCCGCTCGGAATCGTACTGGAGCAGGACGTCAAGAGCGGAAACATATTCGTGGTGCGTCGGGTGCCGCGTAGGAGCAGCAGCGGAGGCCAATCGCTCGGGGTTTTCTGGCTGGAAGTTGAAGAAACGATGGGGGGAAGGAACGAAATGTTCGCGCAGGAAAGGAACTTTCCATGGGACGATGATCTTTATCCGGATATGCTGTGCGTACGAACCTACCACGCTGCGCTGTACTGCAGGTGGAAGTGAAGGCAGAAGGAAGCGCAGCGCGAGATGGCCGAGTGAAAGTGGTGAGTGAGTGGCTAGCGTCTGTAAGTCACGTCGAGGGATAAACGGTTTGTGGGCATGCAAGTCGCCTCCTCACCAAGCCGCCTCACTTAGAAATGCGTACATGCGTCTAGTGTGGCGTTTGTGTGCGTGTTTCGCGCGACGTGTTCTTCACGTCATGGCATGGGCAAGGCGGGGAGGCGTGGGGGTGTGTGGTAATTGGCGCGATCGTCACGCATCTACGGCTGTCATGTAGTACGGCCGTACGGCGTAATGTCAACTTGTACGATTCATGACGTGCAGGGTGATCAGCTCATAGCGACCAGCGGCGTCATTTACACCACGGAGAGCGACTACGGGGGAGCCACAGTCAAGGGAGGGCAGCAGGTGGTTCGACTACTAGTGCAGGGGGAGGTGAGGACTTCAGTTAATCATTTGTTTAGTGTTGGGTGTTCGCATATCCGTTTATGTTATTTGTGATCGTCCGCCGAGCATCGTGGTAATGGCGGTGCTGCAGCATGCATGGCATGGCATGTCATGGGCCATATGGCTCACACCTCTTTTCACATGATCAATAATTCGGCACTGCCATCCACCACATACATACGTACATAATACATACGTATGTAGGTTATACATACACGATAGTGTATACATACACTATAGCTAGGTTAGGCACTACTGGTAAGGCACGACCATTGCCCCCGGGAGATCCCGAAATCGAGACCTGCCAGGTCGAAAATCCTTCCGATGGTGGAAGGCATTGCGCCCCTAGTTGATGGACGGTGGTGACCTGGGATAAAGTTAACCTGCGAGCCGACCAGGAATGGAATTGGGCCGCCGTCGATCCGGCAGTTTCCGTTGGATGCTGGTGGTGGGTGCATAACCTGAGCGATCCACTGAGAAGTTCACTAGGGTGACTGGATGGGGGTGCCCCGAAATACCGGGGAAGGCAGGGTTTCGCAGGGTAGCTGCCACGGGTGAAGGTATACCCCCCTGTTCCATACATGCATACATACATATGCACATATATACGTACATACACACATACATATGTACATAAATACGTACACAAATTAACCTTTTTACCCGCCTTCTTCCTTTACCATCCTTCATCTTTTCCTCCTTCTCTGCCTCCTCCCGGGCACCACCACCACCTGCTCTCGAAGACCTTCAAGACCGTGTCAGCGGCCATCGGCTCACATCCGGGGCACATGGCCGTAACGCTCGAATTCCAGCGCTGTGACACAGGGCTGGGTCTGAGTAGGGGCAGTGCGGATGAAGCCAACAACGCAATCGGAACACCACTCGAGGCGGAACGATCTGGGAATGGGAAATAACTGCCATGATGACATACGTAATGATGTTTTTATAATCTTTATTATTATGCTGACAATGGTGATGGTCACGACGAAGATGATGATGTAATTTAGAAGAAAGCCGTCGTGAGGTTATCAGGCTGGTGCTGGTGTTGGAGTTGGTGTTGGTGGTGGGCAATCTGCCGGTTGTGTGAGGAGGAGCCGGGGCGAAGTGATGGCGGTTACAAATTCATTTATTTACGGACGGGCCACGACTTGAAAGACGGAAAGGAATTACCGGAGCTCTGGAAAGGGGCGCCGCTTTTAGCAGGTAACCATTTACTTTCGAAATTGGTTTCATCATTGTGTGTGCGTGTTTGTGTGTGAGAGCGAGAGCGCAAAAACCCTATTACCTGCTGCACCTGCGTCCCCCACTCCTTCAGCCAAGGAGTTGTTGTTGTGAACGCCCGGAAAGCACCACTCTGTAGTCTTTCTCCCTTTTAAGAGAGCATCATACCATCCCAGCCTAAACTTACAGCCGCGCCCACACCCGGGGACACAGCAGCGGCAGCAGCAACAGCCATGTCCGCCGTTTGCATCACCAGGTGCCGCGCTAGGGGTTTGCCGCCGAAGCGTTACCCGGACGGGGCCAGAACATTTAGGAGGTTAGAGACCTGTTATGAATCCCGAGATCACCATGATAAAACACAGCTCGCAGACACACCGGCCGGCACGACAGTGTTTTTCAGTTAGTTCAGCGCTACCGGCTGGGCTGGGCTGAGCATCTGTTTCTGCAAGGCGCTGAAGAGTGCCGGCAGGTCGATGGTTGAGCGGGGTCAGTGTAGAACAGCAGCCGCGCGCAAGTGGGGCGCGCCAATGGGCGACCTGCAGGACGGAGCAGGCCACCATTGCAGGCAAACGCCACGGAGGGAAGGGTGGTGATGCAAGGGGCGCCGGCAACAAGGCTGTCGTGGAGTTCCACTACGAGGCCTTGTGACGCATGTGCGTTGTTGGCGGTCTCCAATAGCGCCGATGGCAGCAGCGGAAACAGTGGAGAAACAGTATGGCCCATACTGTATGGGTCATGGGTGTATTGGTTGGGGCAGCACCGGTATTCCGGTCGATTCACTGTAACGTCAATTATGATGCGAAATGTATATACTGTTTCGGTTTACAGTCCTACGTGCGTTGCCGGCCGCGCTGATTAGACGGTGCAGCAAATCAGGGGCAGACCCAGATGGACCCGGCCTTGCTGCATGTTCTCGCGTCCTCTCGCGTGCACAATTGTGCACGCTCACGCTATCAAGGAAATGGCACGACCAGCGCGATAGAGTGCTAGAGCCACCGCGAGGCATCGGAACCTCTGTAACGGTACATGTAGCTTGTGACAAATCCTTACGCGGACCTCGACCAAAGGCCCATCGTGGCTACCCGTCCTCGGCGCGTCGTGATAAGTGTATGTTTACTACTCTTAACCAGGAATTTCGACAGGCACAGATTTAAAAAGCAAAGAGACCGGATTTGAGTTATGATTTTTTATTCATTAATTTCTAAATATCAAGAATTGGTTTGACCCATATAGGTACAACGCCCTCAAGTGCCTCTAGTGACAATGTGCACTGCGTGGAGGCGTGGAGCTCTGGATCGCGTTAAGGGGTATCATATATCAGTAACATAGTATTCCCCGTTCATAGAGCATCCTGTACCGTGCTCCGAAGCTTGACACACGTACGGCGACGGCGGTTTTCGAGTTGCTGCCTCCCTCGACCGGCGGCTTAAAAGTATTTGTAAGACTACATCGGTTTTCGTTGCTCTCTTAACGAGTCTGTCGTCTTACTGCCGGTTTGTGAGCACATGCCTACACAGTGTTGATATCATGGACAGACGGCAGCTTGCGCGCTCTCTTTTGCAATCATCGAACTTACGTGAGGATGTTCACGATGCGGCCGATTACTCGGGCGCGAGTGCGCAAGATGACACAAAGACATTACGTGTAGTATCCATATTTGTAATCCTTGCGACGGGGCTCCTCGGAGGCTTGCCGCCTTTATTCGTTAAGGTGCGACACGGCCACTTTCTTGTGCCAGTGTCAGTCGTCGGCCGCTGTCGGCTGTTCGACAGACGTGTGCAGATATCCCCAGTATCCGAAGGTGCATGCAGACATCATTTGCTATCCTCGGCATTATATCGCACCGCCTGTATACAATCAATGCGCCGCTGCCGCACGGTCGGTGCTATCCTTTCGCGACGGCCGCCGTTCCATCGTTTTCACGCATTCACCTTGTATAAATTTGCATTCGGTCATTGCGTAATGCGCACTAGCACTCTTGATCATGTCTCTAGCAAAACTCGCGGAGCCGTGCTAGAAATCGTTGACATCATATCGTTTCGCAGATGTTTCAAGACCCGGAGGGTATGCTTACTCGCCTGGTGCGCTCTTTCGCTGCGGGAGTCATTGCGGCTTTAGCACTGGTGCATATCATCCCAGGTACGTCTTGAGAATCCGTAAATTCTGTGTGGGTGATCAGCTTCCTTATGGTATCTTATCGGACACGTGAGCCTTAAAGTTGATGAACGAGTTTCACATGCCGCGGATGGCCGGGGCTCGCTGTTACAACGCCAGTTAATCGTGTTCCTTCAGCCTACTGATCCCCAACATTCCATCTCCCCTTTCCTCGCCTCCGATGCCGCCGTCTCAGCCAAACACACGGCCTTCTGTTGAGCGATGCGCTCTCACCCTAATGCCTGGGTTAGTGCCTACGATTCTAACCTAACCTTGTCTGCTCTTCTGCATGCATCCCCGTGCGCCCACTGTCCGTCTGTCTGTCTGTGCAGAGGCTGTGGAGGAAATGTCCGAGTTGGGGGGAGTGGAATATCCCCTTGGGGGCACCTGTGCTTTGGGCGGGGTCGCGCTCATGATACTGTTGGAGCACATGGCACACATCATGCATGATGGGGACGGAGGAGGACACGCCGTAGGCGGAGCTTCCAAAACAGGCAACAGCATCCCACACAAGCACAAATCCTCCAAGCTGATGTGCCCCGTGGCTGTGGATTCACCGCGGAACTCCCCCTCTCGTGCTCCAGCGGCTGTAGCTGAAGGCTGCCTGAAGCCGCAGACCAGCAATAGCGGCGATGAACTGCATATGGACGGTGGGGCCGTTGGCGGCAGCGGTGTCACACACGGTCACAGTCATGTGTGCGTGTCCCGGGGATCGGCCCCCAATTGGTTGGCGGCCGGCACTGTGGAGGCGATGGGCAGTTTACGGTTGAAGGTGGTGGCGTATCTGTTCGAGATCGGCTGCATTTTCCATAGGTGAGTGGTTGCTAGCCGCAGGGGCGCCTCCCGGTGCCATGGGAAGTGCATCCAACGTGTGTGTATGGGGGAGGCCGCGGAAGCAGTGGTCTTCGGAGCATTCTTCAAGACATATTAGGCTCGAAATAGCATGCATAGAAGGTATGGAAGGCTTTGGTGTATATCACCTGGAATGCACGAAGCTACATATGACCTTTCTCGTCAGCAGAATCTTTCGGGTGGGGGGGGGTACCCACATCCACAAGCTAACTTTGGCGCTACGGCTTAAGACCGCGCAAAAGCGACATCCGACAGCCGCTGTCCTTTCTGTTCCATGTATGTTAGGAAGGGCAGTGCGACAACTCTGGTTTGACATTGCGGATGACATCTCCTCCGCTCTTTCTCCTGCTGCCCTGTGGACAGCTTTATCATTGGCCTGTCCCTAGGAGTGAACCAAACCGACTTGAAGGAAGTTCGCTCGCTACTTATCGCGCTTGCTTTCCATCAATGGCTGGAGGTGAGGTGGGGCCGTGCATCAAAGAGACGGACGAAGCTGCAGAGTGTGGCTGGTGTGGAGTGTTTTGGGAGGGCCTCTGGTTGACAAAGTCCTGCTGTGTTTACATCGCTGAGTCAATAAGTGGAGCTTATAATACTCCATCAGAGGGCGCGAAATTTAAAAAAATAAATTTTTACTATGAAAGTTAATAATAAACAGTGCACATGCTAAAAACAGGGCCCCTCCGGGATCGAACCGGAGACCTGCTGATCTGCAGTCAGCTGCTCTACCACTGAGCTAGAAACCCTCAGGATGTCATTGAAGTAATAGTTTCCATTATAAAGGAAAAAGTCTGGAGGCCCCGCGACCACACTCGCAACGCACCGCAAGGTGTAAGACACACATACAGTAGTCACAGGCTGTGATTGTGGAATCACACAATGACAGTGACAGTGAGAATCCAGCTACAAATTAACATTTATTATTGATATTATTGCAGGAGAAGATGGTAATAGAATGTGATACGTGATATACTTACAAGAGACTATTATTAAGAAAGTAAGCGCGCAGCAATCCATCTGATAATAAAACGTTAGTTAATTTAATATAAAATGTTTGATGTGCCCCAATCACACCCTCTCCCCTACGTTGGCACAACCGAGTGTTTCATGCCATTTTGATGATGATTAGGACGAGTACGGTGCGTCTAGGTTCAGACGTCTGGCGCAATGATCAGACTTCACACAGTTCCCTGAATCATGCAACTCCTAACCACACCATGCATAACACACTCCGTAACCGTATCCGCGGGCAAGCTCGCCCGTGCCAATCCAAATACGGGTAGACCGAGGATGATTTTTTGGGCGGGGCCCCAGCGCGAAGCGCCCAGGGGGCCCCCGCCCTGTAGGTTTTCCCATGTCCGCGTGTAACGGACCAAACATAATATCTCGGCCGGCTAAAACGCGTTATTGGTAATATATATTGCATTCTCTATTGAACGTATCTCGCCTCTAGCCAACAAAAATCGTATGAGCACAAACAAGTTTGCCTGCCTCGATTGACCGAGGCCAAAGTCATATCAACGCCTCTCGGGCTAAATCTCATCTCAAAAGTTGCGCATATCTCATAATTATATTCTGAGATGATGGCGTATGAGAACTCGAAGACCCAGCTTGCGTTACCATTTGCCCGCACGGGCATTCCGACTTGCCACCAGCAGGCCGACAAATTTGCTTTCATTCCTCTATGAACTACGCAAGCTGCTCGTTTGTACAATTACTTTGGCCAATGCTTGGGGCCTCCGAAGACTTGCAGTGTGCCGCGATGAAGCTCGTGGCTGTGGGGTGGATTACTGAAGCCGCTGGCGCTTCGGGAATAGACATAAGACAGCGAGTGCCGAGGGCTTTGGGGAAGTGTGTCGAGCTAGGCTTTGAGGGGTGCGCCAAGGGCGCGTGAGCAGGCGCCCGAATGGGCAGGTCAATGCCTGATTGAGCGGCGCCGTAGGCAGCGCGTACGGTGCTACCGGCCTGTACGGCAGCAGGGGGCCCCGCCCTTTTCCTGGCTTCCTCGAAGCCAACACAGCTTCTCCCCCAACAACCCCTTTACCTCCTCTCCATCGGGACGATCGTCCAATTTCCTTTTATTATTATCTACTCTATTATCCAATGGTTTGAGAACAATAAATATGCATTGCTGTTGTATTCACTTCACGTTTCGCCCGTCAAACAAATTCCTCTTCACGGAATTTGAAACCGGTATCCGCGTCCGTTCTCACGCGCCACGTCACCTTGCGCGAGCAGGGAATCAGCCTGGCGAGCGTGGTAATCCGGGGCGGTTTCACAGCGCGGAAGGGCGCCCTAATGATTTTGACTTACTCGCTGACGTGCCCCGTGGGCATTGCAATCGGCATGGCAATTGCTGAAACGTACGATGGGGAGTCCACGAAGTCGCGCGGCATTCAGGGGGCCTTCAACGGCGTGTCTGGCGGCATGCTGCTTTACATTTCCTTGGTCCAGGTGGGTGCGCTACCTAGGGTGTGTGGATCTGAGAGACAGAGACACACATGCTTCTCGAGGCTCTTTTAGTATTTCCCAGTATGCTCACGATTTACAGTATGCTCACGATACATGTTTTTTCTAAAACTATATGTTACCTCTTTTCCTTCCATTTTTATTGTATTCGTTCCAAACTTAAATCCTTGCAGTTGGTGGCGGAGGACATGGGCAAGCTAGTACCCGGGCGCGACAGCACTATGGGTCGAATACGCTGCTATGCGGCCCTGTGTGGTGGTGCCGCCTCTATGTGCCTGTTGGCGGTGTGGGCCTGATGAAATGTGTGTTGTAAGTTACGCTGAGTACGGAGTCTCTGTTTTGGATTTGCTATGGATCCACGTCGGAATCTGCACCTGAATCCAAATCAAGAATCTGGATCCAAGACTTTTAAAAACGTTGAAAATGTGCGGGGCTCCGTGTGAGTCTGGGGATCCAAAGTTGTGGATCCGACGCATATTTGGCTCTAAACCTGGGTACCGTTGTTGTTCCAGACGCTGTATCGTGTGATCCTCCTCGTGTGTGTCATCCTCCCCCTCTTGTAGTCATGGGGGGTGGCCGACATTTTTGGCGTCATTTTTGCGTCGAGGGCGGGTTTTCTCTCTGGATGCGGCAGGTGGTTTTTAATCGGATTTTGGATCGGGTCGGGTTTTGAATCAATCGGTTTTTTAGTTCTGCGCGTCTCATTTTAGATCCGGGAAAAATGCGGTTATGCCTGGTTACGCCTGAGGCAGTTCCCACGGTCCGGACTCCGGACTAACTAACACTAACTCTACCCGTATTTGGACTTTTCCCGTCTGAATCTCTTCATGGTTTCTTAGAGTGTCATTTTAAAAGGCCTGGAGTCCTGGCCTTGTCTTGGTGTGTCTTGATGCGTTCTGACTTGCGGCGTGCGGCTTTGGCCACATGCGCTGCACGTCTCTCTTGTTTGTACGATGAACGCTTGTACTGCCGGCCCGGTTAGGTGGTTGGCATCTGGTTGGATTGGCAGTTATTGAGGACTTGCAACGTGGCGAAGCGGGACATCTGGGGTTACACCTTGGGTGGGAGAAAGTCGTTTGAAAAATGTGTGATTCCCGGATGTGGGGCCGCGGAGTACGGTGGGGATCAGAGCCGCTTCGGGAGCCATCTCCATCTCCATCGCCTAAAAGTGTTGAACTTGGGGTTGGCATAGAGGCAGCGGCAGTGTTAGCGGCAGTGTTAGCAGATAATAGAGTTGTTATAGCAGGCAGGGGGGCGGCAACAAAGCATGTGGATTCGGTTGAGAATGGAGAAGAGACGTGAGGGCGTTGCACTCGTATCAGCATCTTGCAGCATGTAGTGAGTGCTCAACAAGCAGATATCGCGCAGCGGAGAGAGAACGCCACCACGTTCTCCGTTTAGAGAGAGGTGAGTGGTGGCGGCGGGGGTTTGTTTTTATAACTGCACGCACACTGCTGCGGCACACCAGGGGGGAAAGGGGTTTACCTCGACACGAGGCCGCGAGGTTTTTACTAGTATTACAAAGCGGCAAGTGATTTCACACGGATTTTGGCCGCGATGGCGGGTGCGGGTGCATATTGCTTTCCCCAGGCGCCGGGCACATCTGTACTAGGCTGTTACATATAATATTAGCAACGTACGCACAGGTCTTTGTCTGTAGCACGTTCACAAGACCTCTTCGGTACTTGCGGCATCTTGTTGCTGAAGGTATCGGCTCTTCTTGGGATCTGATAGGAGTAGGGTGATGGTGATGTTGTTTTTAGAGGCGGGTGGGAGTAGGGGAATAGTTTTCGTTGCAGTATGTTTCCCCGCCAGGGCGCGGTTACAATATTTTTTCATGTGCTGATCAAACTACATGACATGCACGATTGTTACGTACAATGTTCGTAAACGCATGGTTTCATGCTTGTATGATGCGCGGGAGTGCGCTCGGTGTTTGAAAGAATTGCGTATCGTTTTTTCACCACGAGCGACGGTGGTTTGCGACGCATTTTCTTTGTCATGAAAGAATGTATAAAATAAGGCATGAATGTAAGGTGGTCATATATTCATGAAATATGCTTTGGGGAATGCAAATCCTTTCCTGGATTCGCTTCCTGGTGGGATCTTTTTCAAACTTTAAAAACTTTGACCCTGGCGGAACGCGTCCGCACTTCGGGGGATTGTAAGAAGATGCGTATCGTTATCTAATCTAAACCTATCTGTCGGGCTTTTTGCGCAGCGGCCTTGTAACTTTTCAGAAAGTCAGGCGTGCCAGGGCGTGCGTGCTATACTTGAAGGAGGGCAGGCGTTGCGAAGGGTAGCCAGAACCAGCCAGCTGTTGTTGCTGAATGATGGACTTTTACTACGGAGGTTCCAACGCAAAAAGGATTTTCCCATGTTTAAATGCAAACTCCGTTGACTTTTCCGGTTTGTTCTGAGTTCTGCAGCTTGGCCCCAATTAGTGTTTCTCGCTTCGCGCAGCTTCTGGTCCCATGGCCCGAAGTCTTAGGGACGTTGACGATGCGAAACCAAGGACGCGATCCGTCTAATACTAAACTCAAACACCCTGACACACATCCAAATGCCGTGAGATTACTCAAAAGTTATCTTGACAAGAGGATCCATCTGAATTCAAACGCGGGCCGCACGCATGTTTTCGGACAGATGAAGGTCATTCCAAACCCCGTCGACAGGTATAGCGATGGATTACATATATTTAGTGAACCATAACCATTCCTCCTAGCAGTCGCATCTCATCCCATATCGCAGCTTCCGCCTTACAACCATAACCTGTTGGCATTAAAATCATCGTCTGGCGTCTTCTGCCACTTTCAAACTGTTGTGTCCTTCGTTCGAGCAAGGTGTTTCACTCGCACCGCGCTCCTAGGCGAAGGCACACACACGGACACGGACACACAAGGGCCCGACCAGTTGGAATCTTCGCAAACCAATAATGTCGCCGATTACCTGCCCACTTCCCGCCAAAACACAAACTTAAAAATAAAGAGTCTGCTAGGACGGTCGGTCCTCTGCAAGGCAGTAGCTAGGGCAGATGTAAGAAACGCCAGTCAATAGCGCAGAAACACGAGCATCCAGCGGTCTTCATTAAAATTTGCTGAAGGAAACCAGCAATAGTAATAAACGGATAGGACTTCCCCGTCATACTTGTCGCACATTACGCGTGCAGATGTAAGAAACAAGAGCAGATAGTATCAGAAACATACAACACAAAACAACCATTTCGTGGTGCGCCAAGGGTGTCCGAGTCCGTATCGAAGGCCCCCACACTCGTCACTGACTGTACCTGCCTGCGTCCCAATTTCCAGGTAAAAGCAAACCATCAACCGTCAATTGTCAACTGTCCAACTGAAAACTTTGATGAGGGCGGTCATATGTGCCGTGAATAATACGATTAAAACGCCGCGTGCCTTATCTCCCACAGATATGCCAGTCCACAGTACAGAACCGACGTGAAGGCCAACGTAAACTCGCCAGAGCACGTTGACAGACGGCTCCACGGGGTTGATCGAAAGCAACGTTTCAGATTCCGCTGTGTAATTTTAGTACTAAAATTACACAGCGCAATAAAGAGGGCGCTTCAGAATTAGGAAATCATACAGAAATAAGTCGTTCGTAAGGTCATCGGCCGAGGCAACCAAACCATCGAATTGTCCAAATAGCCAACCAGAAAAACAGTAAAAAGAAAGCCCTGCTGGGGAAGCAAATTACAAACCAACGAGGTTGCAGGTCGAGGTTACCGCGCGAGACGTGGATACAGCACAATAGAAACAAGTAGACTCATAACGATGTTGATCAGGTAAATTGCAGATAATTCAAAATGATAGGAAAAGCCGCAAATAGGAGGTTAACTGAGGTAGGTCGAGGATCGGATGCTGGCGGGAGAGCTTTGCGCCCTCACATCACGCAGACTCCCGAAACTCAACTCGCAGCGCCATCTGCAAGTAGCCCCAAGCGCCACCTCTGCTATTCTCCTCTCCTCTTCGCGGATTGTGCTAATTAACTATTTAAAACGCATCAACCATGTGGCGTCCACAATACCAGCTCACGATTACGGACAGCACGGGTACGGCATTCCTCGCTAGATGTTGTACCCCAGGAGACGCCATTTAACCGCTCCCTTGCTAGTCTTGCCTTTATCGTGTTCCTCGTGCTAACATTTCTCGCCTATAGCGTACATTACAAGACCTGCATTATTCCTTTCCCAACATGTCTCAAAACATTTCTATTGAGCAAATTAAGCAGCTTTTGGATGATGACCTCAAGCCCATCAAAGACGAGTTGGCGGACCTCTCCACGAAGGTGGATGACCTCTCCACGAAGGTGGACAAGACGATGACCAAGGTTGACATCCTTGTCGCGAAACAGCAGAACTCTACAGCAACACGGAGCGACCGTCTGCAGGTGGTACCTCGATCGGACGGTTCCATGCCAACGGTGGACTTTCCGGAATCAATCCTGCAGCTCCTGGTTGCGGACAACGAATCTCTGCCTGACGGTCAGCGGAACACCTGGAACAGGAGCAAGTCCAAGGTGCTGCTGCGGCAGTATGAGGATGCAAATGAGAGTGAGAGCGATACCGATGACAATGAGCAATCATCAAAGTCGCGGGCACAGAGGCTCAAGCTCGCCCGACTCCTGGGCATCACAAATGCCCAGCTCAACTTCGCGCAGATGACACTGTAGGCGCCTGCATCACCTTGCTGGAGCAATTAAACCGGTGTTTTTCAACACCACCAGACTGCTGGAATTGTGTTGTTCGCTGACAGCCAGACCCTTTTGCCAGGCAAATGAGCATCCCGCCTCCCATTTCAATGGCTTCAGATCCCAACGCAGCCAACACAAAAGCGAACTTGCTACGATGTGTGTCAACACATGCGAGGGGGAAAGGGGGACATGCGGCGGGGCGGATTGGTTAGGAGGGCGGGTTTCAGGGCATGACGGGGCCCCCCCACAACCTAGCTGACACATTCGGTCGAACAACATCATGGCCGCATTCCGGGGACTGCAAAACGAGGGGGGAATAGGAAAACACGGCGGGGTGGATTGGTAAGGAGGGTGGGTTTCAGGGCATGACGGGACCCGCCCATAACCTAGCTGACACATTCAGTCGAACATCATCATGGCCGCAGTCCAGGGACTGCAAAATGAGGGGGGAATAGGGAAAACGCGGCGGGGTGGGTTGGTTAGGAAGGCGGTTTTTAGGGCATGACAGGGCCCCCCGCAATCTAGCCGACACATTCGGTCGAACGTCACCATGGCTGCAGTCCGGGGACAGCAAAACGAGGGGGGAAGGGGGAAAACACGGCGGGGCGGGTTGGTTAGGAGGGCGGGTTTCAGGGCATGACAAGGCCCCCGCAACCTAGCCAACACATTCCGTCGAACATCACCATGGCCACAGTCCGGGGACTGCAAAACGAGGGGGGAATAGGGAAAACACGGCGGAGCAGATTGGTTAGGTTACAAGTTACAAGTGCCGCACGAGTGCGGGGGGTGTCCGTCAAAGCCGGGAGGCCATGGACTATATGTAATGAAAGTTGATCACACCGTACGACCGACGGCGGTTTGGGTCCTGCCAACTAGACCCCTCCTCATCCAGTCACCCAACATCCGTAGAGACAGTTCAGCCACCACCACCATCTCAGCATGCGAAACTTAGTCCATCAACTAGACCTCATCTCCACACCTCAGCAGCGTTAGTAAACCTAGACCTCCCGAACAATGTCGGGGGTCTGACCAGGAATCGAACCCGAAACCTTCAGATACACGAAAGCGCCACCAGACCAGACCGGTTAGGAGGGCGGGTTTCAGGGCATGAGGGGGCACCCCTAAAACCTAGCAGACACGTTCACTCAAACATCATCATGGCCGCAGTCCGGGGACTGCAAAACGAGGGGGGAAGGGGGAAAACACTGTGGTTAGGAGGGCGGGTTGGTTAGGAGGGCGGGTTTTAGGGTATGACGGGGCCGCCCCGCAACCCAGCCGACACATTCGGTTGAACATCACCATGGCCGCAGTCCGGGGACTGCAAAACGAGGGGGGAATAGGGAAAACACGGCGGAGCAGATTGGTTAGGAGGGCGGGTTTCAGGGCATGACGGGGCCCCCCCCCACAACCTAGCCGACACATTCGATCGAACGTCACCATGGCCGCAGTCCGGGGACTGCAAAACGAGGGGGGAAGGGGGAAAACACTGTGCGGGGCGGGTTGGTTAGGAGGGCGGGTTTTAGGGAATGACGGGGGCCCCCCGCAACCCAGCCGACACATTCGGTTGAACATCACCATGGCCGCAGTCCGGGGACTGCAAAACGAGGGGGGAATAGGGAAAACACGGCGGGGCGGATTGGTTAGGAGGGCGGGTTTCAGGGCATGACGGGGGCCCCCCCCACAACCAGCCGACACATTCGATCGAACGTCACCATGGCCGCAGTCCGGGGACTGCAAAAGGAGGGGGGAATAGGGAAAATGCAGCGGGGCCGATTGGTTAGGAGGGCGGGTTTCAGGGCATGACGGGGCCCCCCCATAACCTAGCTGACACATTCAGTCGAACATCATCATGGCCGCAGTCCAGGGACTGCAAAATGAGGGGGGAATGGGGAAAACACGGCGGGGTGGGTTGGTTAGGAGGGCGGGTTTCAGGGCATGAGGGGGCCCCCCTAAAACCTAGCCGACACGTTCGCTCAAACATCATCATGGCCGCAGTCCGGGGACTGCAAAACGAGGGGGGAAGGGGGAAAACACGGCGGGGCGGGTTGGTTAGGAGGGCGGGTTTCAGGGCATGACGGGGCCCCCCGCAACCTAGCCGACACATTCCGTCGAACATCACCATGGCCACAGTCCGGGGACTGCAAAAGGAGGGGGGAATAGGGAAAATGCAGCGGGGCCGATTGGTTAGGAGGGCGGGTTTCAGGGCATGACGGGGCCCCCCCATAACCTAGCTGACACATTCAGTCGAACATCATCATGGCCGCAGTCCAGGGACTGCAAAATGAGGGGGGAATAAGGAAAACACGGCGGGGTGGGTTGGTTAGGAGGGCGGGTTTCAGGGCATGAGGGGGCACCCCTAAAACCTAGCAGACACGTTCGCTCAAACATCATCATGGCCGCAGTCCGGGGACTGCAAAACGAGGGGGGAAGGGGGAAAACACTGTGGGGCGGGTTGGTGAGGAGGGCGGGTTTCATGGAATGACGGGGCCCCCCTGCAACCTAGCCGACACATTCGGTCGAACGTCACCATGGCCGCAGTCCGGGGACTGCAAAACGAGGGGGGAAGGGGGAAAACGCGGCGGGGCGGGTTGGTTAGGAGGGCGGGTTTCAGGGCATGACGGGGGCCCCCCGCAACCTAGCCGACACATTCGTCGAACGTCACCATGGCCGCAGTCCGGGGACTGCAAAACGAGGGGGGAAGGGGGAAAACACGGCGGGGTGGATTGGTTAGGAGGGCGGGTTTCAGGGCATGACGGGGGCCCCCCGCAACCTAGCCGACACATTCGATCGAACGTCACCATGGCCGCAGTCCGGGGACTGCAAAACGAGGGGGGAAGGGGGAAAACATGGCGGGGTAGATTGGTTAGGAGGGCGGGTTTCAGGGCATGACAAGGCCCCCGCAACCTAGCCAACACATTCGGTCGAACGTCATCATGGCCGCAGTCCGGGGACTGCAAAACGAGGGGGGAAGGGGGAAAACGCGGCGGGGCGGGTTGGTTAGGAGGGCGGGTTTCAGGGCATGACGGGGCCCCCCGCAACCTAGCCGACACATTCGATCGAACGTCACCATGGCCGCAGTCCGGTGACAGCAAAACAAGGGGGGAAGGGGGAAAACACGGCGGGGCGGGTTGGTTAGGAGGGCGGGTTTAAGGGCATGACGGGGGGCCCCCGCAACCTAGCCGACACATTCGATCGAACATCACCATGGCCGCAGTCCGGGGACTGCAAAACAAGGGGGGAAGGGGGAAAACACGGCGGGGCGGGTTGGTTAGGAGGGCGGGTTTCAGGGCATGACGGGGGCCCCCCGCAACCTAGCCGACACATTCGATCGAACGTCACCATGGCCGCAGTCCGGGGACTGCAAAACGAGGGGGGAAGGGGGAAAACATGGCGGGGTAGATTGGTTAGGAGGGCGGTTTTCAGGGCATGACAAGGCCCCCGCAACCTAGCCAACACATTCAGTAAAACATCACCATGGCCACAGTCCGGGGACTGCAAAACGAGGGGGGAATAGGGAAAACACGGCGGAGCAGGTTGGTTAGGAGGGCGGGTTTCAGGGCATGAGGGGGCCCCCCAAAACCTAGCCGACACATTCGATCGAACGTCACCATGGCCGCAGTCCGGGGATTGCAAAACAAGGGGGGAAGGGGGAAAACACGGCGGGGCGGGTTGGTTAGGAGGGCGGGTTTCAGGGCATGACGGGGGCCCCCCGCAACCTAGCCGACACATTCGATCGAACGTCAACATGGCCGCAGTCCGGGGACTGCAAAACAAGGGGGGAAGGGGGAAAACACGGCGGGGCGGGTTGGTTAGGAGGGCGGGTTTCAGGGCATGACGGGGGCCCCCCCGCAACCTAGCCGACACATTCGATTGAACGTCACCATGGCCCCAGTCCGGGGACTGCAAAACAAGGGGGGAAGGGGGAAAACACGGCGGGGCGGGTTGGTTAGGAGGGCGGGTTTCAGGGCATGACGGGGGCCCCCCGCAACCTAGCCGACACATTCGTCGAACGTCACCATGGCCGCAGTCCGGGGACTGCAAAACGAGGGGGGAAGGGGGAAAACACGGCGGGGCGGGTTGGTTAGGAGGGCGGGTTTCAGGGCATGACGGGGGCCCCCCGCAACCTAGCCGACACATTCGGTTGAACATCACCATGGCCGCAGTCCGGGGACTGCAAAACAAGGGGGGAAGGGGGAAAACACGGCGGGGCGGGTTGGTTAGGAGGGCGGGTTTCATGGCATGACGGGGGCCCCCCGCAACCTAGCCGACACATTCGTCGAACGTCACCATGGCCGCAGTCCGGGGACTGCAAAACGAGGGGGGAAGGGGGAAAACACGGCGGGGCGGGTTGGTTAGGAGGGCGGGTTTCAGGGCATGACGGGGGCCCCCCGCAACCCAGCCGACACATTCGGTCGAACGTCATCATGGCCGCAGTCCGGGGACTGCAAAACGAGGGGGGAAGGGGGAAAACGCGGCGGGGCGGGTTGGTTAGGAGGGCGGGTTTCAGGGCATGACGGGGGCCCCCCGCAACCTAGCCGACACATTCGGTCGAACGTCATCATGGCCGCAGTCCGGGGACTGCAAAACGAGGGGGGAAGGCGGAAAACGCGGCGGGGCGGGTTGGTTAGGAGGGCGGTTTTCAGGGCATGACGGGGGCCCCCCGCAACCTAGCCGACACATTTGGTTGAGCATCACCATGGCCGCAGTCCGGGGACTGCAAAACGAGGGGGGAAGGGGGAAAACGCGGCGGGGCGGATTGGTTAGGAGGGCGGGTTTCAGGGCATGACGGGGGCCGATCTTTGATCTGCTGCTGGCCTTTTAGTATGTATGTATGTATGTATATATGTAAACACACTCTCTACACTCTGTACATCGGGCAGTGCAGGTTTGGGTCATTCTGCAGGGCGCAGCAGCAGCACTATCAGCTGCTGGATACACAGATTGGACATGTGGATTGAAACCATCTAGCGATTAAGGCGAAGCGCGGCAATGACGTCTTCATTCTTTTTATCTTATCTTACAAAATAAGACCAGAACGTGTCATTGATACGAACCCAAGGAATGATAAGGTATGATAAGGCTGACTCAGAATCAACTTCAGCTGCTGCACAGCAAAACAACACACCATAAAACTGCGGCAGTGATAGATAAAGGAATTTTATGTACAACGCGGCTTCAGGCCTGACAGAGAGACAGGCACGCACATGTACCTACATACATACATGCCTACATACATACATACACCCACATAAACCAGCAGCAACAATTGTCCGTTGTCACTCAAAAAAGCAATCCAGCAAAAAAACAATAATATATATGCCGCACATTCAGGCAAGACGTCTCTTCACTTCTGCCCTCAATTGCGATTTTCTCTCTTTCTCTCCCCTTCTCCCCATCTCCCAGCGATAGAAATTTATGCCTACCGGAACCGTACCCGGTGTAACCGGAACCGGAAGAAGCCTTTCATCATCAAAGTTCTCCTTTAGGGGAAGAAGAACGGCAAAAGCCGCCTGGTTTACTGTGGGCCCTCCTCCACTCCATAAATCCATGTAATCACAAGTCTAGCGCCCCCCCCCCATTCCCCCGGCAACAGGGAACAGCATTCGCCGCCCACAGCAGCCCCCTC